GGATTTCCCTAGGTTTCTGAGATGTTCACACAAGATTCGTGGTCCCAAGAGTGTGGCTGCGTAACCACAATGGGAGCTCACAAGTGTACAAGGCAGAAAGATTGATTTCACAGTGTGACTAGGCTGCACCACATGATGGAAACTGACTAGACAGATGAGAGTTGCTCCACAGAGGCTGAAATTCCATTGGCAACTACAAAGCAACAGTTCTAGCTGGGCAAAGAAGGTATCAAGGAAAGCAAGGAAACCTGCAGCTTTGGAACTGCGGTTTAGGGACTAAAGTAGGAGAGCGTGGGTGCTAGGAACAGGCTGTAACCCAAGCAAAGCTCTGGTGATTTTTGGAGCTGCATGATGAAGTGTCTGTCCATGCTGGGCCTCACAATCAAGAGGCACATTAGATATCCAGATAAAGGTAGTTATAGACTTGAAATAAGAAGAAAATGGGGCAGGCTCAGAATGGGGAAGAATAAAAGGATTAATAGTACAACTCCAAGAGAATTAAGACAATAAAAAAGAACCTCAGGGAGGCTCCTGACTCCCTGACTTGAGTGAAAGTCAAGAGCTAAGGATCACAATATTCATGTTTCCATGTCACAAATAAATACAGATATAGATAACAATGAGAGCTCTAACAGATGCTCAGATAATAGAGTAAGCGGCTGATCCATCTTGGGGTGAGGCCACTTCAGGATTTGACAATGTTTCTCTCCAAGGCTTTATACTGACCATTTTTAAAGCACCTTGCAAGTTGTATGGCTGTGGTGGCAAACTGTTTGTCAGAAAGGGATTTCTATTTCTCAGAATCCCCAAGTTTTGCATACTGCAGCAAGGCAACTTCTATTATTCCTGGACCATGAACTACAAATTACACAAAAGTCAGGCAGTGAGTACTCTTTGACTCCAAGTTGTCATGAGATGCCTGCCCATCCAGCTTTTCCTATAATAAAATGCATAGCAGATAAGGTCAACAGAATACAAATCACCCAGTACATATACACAGCAAGCCATCATGGCTAAGCTCCCCAGTAACAACCAGTTTCTGGGTGTGCCATTTTAAGATGCACACAGTTGTATCTCAGTGTTTGCCCCCACACATACAAAATCCAGCTTTTTCCACAAAGGAGTGCATAAGGCTACACTGAATCCTTCTCCCTGACATACTAGTTTTCCATGAGCAGGGATGCAAATTCTTTAAGTTTGACTGGGACAGCATACAAACAAACAACTTTGCTTACAGCCTGAGGTGATAAACTTTACAATTTTGGTGACTGTATAAACTGGATCTTAGATTTCAAGAATGACTTTTGTTCAACTGCCAAATCCTTTTAGAAAATGTTCTGTTCCCTAAATTCTGCATCAGTGCAGATGTTAGTTTTCCATATCCTATTCTTCCAAACTTGCTGCCACAAACCAATTCCCCAGGGTTGTTTTTTGTTTCTATCAAAAGATGTGCCAAACCACATTTTCTGATGTTTGAGAAAGTTGTGCCAGATCGCTAGCAAATCCTGTCTTCTTTTAAAATGTAGAGAGCTAGGTACATATTTGAGTGCTTAGCTGGATAATGGCCAGAATGACTCAACATCTTGCAAGAGCAAAGCTTCCCAGAATTTTCTTATATGATGTTAAACAATACTTTGTGAAATTTTTATTTTTCTCCATCCCTTTCAAAAACTGAAGCTAATTTTAAATAGCAATCTACCTTCAAGACAATCTGTCTGTAGAGATCAGGAACAAGGGATATAGCTTAGGTGTAGGCAATCTTTCTAGACCTGTGGGCATATCTGAGAAAGCCTTTGGCTATGGGGCAGCATCCAAATGCAATAAATATAATAAATAAATATAATAAATGGCAACTTGAAAAACTGTGCAGACCATGACCACGAAATGGATGCTCTCTGGATGAACACATGAGCCTGCAGTCACTTGTCATCTTCATTTCCAAAGAATGTCTATGAGCCCTAGATGTAGCCCAGAAAACTCATAGATAAGGATGATGGGAGTGGCTAGAGGCTCCCACTTTGCATTGGAGCAATCCTAGCTGTCAGTTAAGATTGTCTGTCATTTAAAATAGAATTAAATTAAAAAATATGGGTACCTTGACAGGTACCAAGAAAGGTGTTCACAGGAGCATTGGTGCCTATTCCTTATATAGCTACTCAGTTATGCTGTTACCTTCAGTACATCTTTGAAAAACTAACTTTTGGAAGCCAAAGAGCCTCTAAAGCAGCCATGGGTGACCTTAGGACCGTGAGCCAGTTCCTCTATGGGTATGTGTGTAAATGGAATGGAGGTGGACGGGGGAGAGGGTGGCACCCAAACAGTTAGCCTGACACAACAACCAGTGAACCCTGATGGGACAAATAATATTTCACTGGCAATTCTAAAGTGCATGTGACTTTCATGAACCAGCACTATAATGAAGTCACAAAACTGGCTTTAAAGAACAAAGTGACATGATTATAGTTTGGAGCCTGATTTGTCCCACTTAAGAGCAGACCCACTGAAAAGAATGGGGCTCAAGTTAGTTATTGTTTTAAAGGAGCTGAAGTAATGTCTTTAAATAATAACATGCCTCTAAATCAGAAGCAAGGAACCTATGGCCTCTCAAATGTCACTGGCCTACAGTTCCCATAATCCTTGACAACTGACCATATGGGTGGGGTTGAAGGGAGCTCAAGTTCAGCCACATTTGAAAGGCCCATAGTTTTCCAGGGCTGTCTTAAGCGAAGTGGTAACTGCTCATGAGTTGTTTACTTTGAAAGGTATCACCAGCTCTCCTAGCAAATGCTGATATATCTGAACTCCACCATGTGGTGTTCCCTATCAGTTCTGAAGAAGGACTGAACCAAGTGTGCAGGTCTATTCTAGCAGTGTGTGTTCAAGATTGTCTGATCATAGTTCTGAGTCGTCCTTACAACTGGCACATCTCCATTCCCAAATAAAAAGTAATTTATACTTATGCCTACAAATGCTGCAGGAAGCCCAATATGCAACAGCAAGTTTTGGGGATAAAATGTAATATTATCTGGATAGCATTCATGAGATTCAAAACTGGTATTTTATATGAATATGCCTGGCTCTGCCTTACCACAGTATGCAAATTTTAAGGGGACTTCTACATAAGGAAGAAAGCTAGCCTTGCATACCCATGTAATCCAAGATACTAAAATTACTCTGAAAGACTGAAAACAGGAGTTGTGGCTTTCCCAGAATTGTCTGCCTGGCCTGGCCAATATTGGATCCAGGGTAATAGTTAAGTCAGAGCTTTGATCACTTTCAACATAGGGATATCCTTATGTTCTGAAGCCAGAAGGATCTCTGCTTTGCACAAACGCAAAAGTTATATTGTGAAACCATTGTGATCTCTGGTTTAAAAAAGGGCCAGTCTACCACAAATTCTTAAATGTGCAGTAGCTGGAAGTCTACATCCCTGCCACAGTACAGCATTAACTTTTATTGCATTCATTTCTTATACTATTTGTCTTTTTAAACAGCCTTTGCCTCTACTCAAAGTTGAGGGCTTGAACTGCAGGACAAAAGGAAGGAAAGAACCTCTCTCCATTATCTTTTGTCATGCCCTATTAGCTGCTGATTTTAGAAAGTTGTGTAAAATCAGGAAGTGGAGAGAATGTGAATCACCACCTACAGGTAGTGGATATCACTACCTTTCCCCTCATATTTACCAACGCAATGGATGTAGAAGAAAGCTTGGAAGAACATGCACCCCCAATATCCCGTTTTGCCAGTACCATCGTTACCATCTTTCAGGAAAACAGAGAAAGGAACCACAAATTACAATTCTTTGATGCAGTTGTTTGATACACAAGTGTGGGAGATAGGCTGCAATATTTTGTTGGGCGGCCTGCTTGATTATGGTACCTTGATGCAAAGAACAGTTCACATACCTTTGCACAGTCATGCAAAACGGGATTGCAGCAGGTGCAGCTGTCTTCCTTGGATCGCTACTTATTCCTTCTATTTTTTGACATAGTGACAAAGTGACACCATCCACACACAAGAGATAGGCATTAGTAAGCTTGCCAGATCCAGAAGTTTGCAGATGTACAAGAAATTTTGAAAGACAAATAAGCTCTTTGGCGGGAACCCAAAACTGCCAACATTACTGGGCATGTTCAATGGGCACAAAGTGCTAGCCCAGTGTTGCAAGGCAAAAGAACGGAAGGAAGGAGGAATGGAATGTAGTGTGGGAAAGGGCATGGTGGTGGACATGTTGAACAGAACACTCCACGATGAAGTATTTTCTAGCAGCATCACTTTTATGCAGTTATGGCAAACACAATCTCTAAGTGCCTATCTTTATGAAGCCAAAAAGGTATACACAGAGGGAGCTATCAGCAGTCTGGGCAGGGTGATAGAGGGAAGTATTGAGATTTCATAAAAGTTTTAAAAAATAGAAACAAGAGAAGATGGGGGGGGGAATCCAAAAACAGTCCAATGACGATTGAGCATGCTCAGTGAGCACAGAATGCTGAGTCTTTCATATGCACGGTGAAAAGGCAAAAGGGCTATTCTGGAAAGGGGCGTGGCAAGTGGAAATCCTAAGCGTTCCACACTGCAACACTTCGTTGCAACTCCCACTTGTGGCACAGAATGTCACATCTTCACAGCCTGAGCCTCCCCACTGACGAACTCTGTTCCGTGAGCTGGGCCTCTCTGGCGACCGAAATGACCGCCACTAGTGCTAAGAAGGGCACGGCTGAGAGCCTCGTCGCTTGGCCGGCGATGGCAGGGGGCGCTTTGCGTGCCCGGTTAGCCGAGCGGGCGAAGGACAGAGACGAAGTAAACACACGCACGAAGCGACGAGAAGCGCGCGTAACTGGCCGCGGGCTGCCTTCCCCCACCCCCCGCAAGGGCGTGGCTCAAGGGGAAGAGACCCTCCCCCGAGCCGGCTGTCGCAAGGATTTTTCACGCTCCTTCAACCCCTCACGTCACCCACGACCGAGAACGCGCAGGAGCGGCGGGCAAGGCGGGGCACCTACTTCTTGCAGGGGATGAGGCCCTTCCTCTCCTCCAGTATCCGCAGGCGCTGGTTGGAGCCGTCGTAAGCCACGGCCGCCCGGGTGTTCCTGCCGGTGCTGTGGTCGTACACCACCGTGCGCCCCTCCCACTGCAGCGGGGCCTCGCAAGGAACGACCGGCTGCGCGCTCGTCGCCTGGGTCGGGCTCCAGCAAGTCAGGCAGAAGAAGACGCCGCCAACAAGAAGGGCGAGCGGCGGCGGCCGAGTAGACCCGCCGCGGCGGGTGCTGGCGGCGGCGGTGCTGCTGGCCATTGCCTCGCCTCGGTGCTAACGGCTCTGGCTGCGGGGAGCTCGAGGCCGCGCTGTCGCAAGCAGAGGAGAAGACGGCGCAGAGCCGCCTTGAACGTCGCTGTCTCCGGTCCCTTCTGCGCGACCGCGGGTGCGCGAGGCTGTGGCCGCAGGCGCGCCGGGAGGGCTTCTGCAAGGCTGCAGAACGGCAGAGGCGCTCTCGTGTTGCTTGTGCCGCGGCAGCCCAGCAGGAACTGCAGAGAGCGCCCCTGGCGCCCAACATGGGCATCAGTATTTACCCAACAGGCTTTCGGCTTCCTCTGCGCAGGGCAGAGAGGGATAATGGGAGAGGTAGATGCAGAGAGTTAGAGAGAATGGCAGCGAATAGTTGACTGAATAAATTGCTTTTTTTCATACCAGCGTAACCTCGAAATGCCTCAAGGCTGTCACAGAATCACAGAGGAAGAGCATGGTTTATTTTATTTTATTTTACTTTTTTGCCCAAACAAGACAAAGCCCGAGCTAGTTGTCCTAGAAAACAACCCAAAAACCACAGATGGGCCATACCTTTCCAAAAGCCAAGTGGTGGGGTTTGGACTGGTTCTGATCAAGGTATTGCCCAACTGTGAATGCGAATTTCGTGGCCCCCTCAAGTGGATTGGAACTCATGGTTAGCTGCTACCGACTTAAAGTTGAGTGCATAACCCAAGCTGGAACACATGCAGATTTGATGTGTAATATTAAGTATGCTACAATATCTCCATTTCATATGGTACTTAATGCTTAGAAAGCCCAGCTGTCCCATGAACCTGTATCCAGGCTTAATTGTACTTGGAGCAGACCCCTGGGGCTCATATATCATGAGTAACATGACCTATTGGTTTCAGCTGGGTCTGAAGTGAGAGCAATGGGAACCAATTCTCCCATTGATTTCAGTGGGTTTACTCTAAACATCACTACATTCTGGTCCAACCCATAATGTGGAAATCAAATGTTAAAGAATCAAACAAGACATTTCAACTGGATGTTCACCCAAATATGTAGGTATGGGACCATATTCTTGCTACTGTGAGCCTAAAATCACACCCTGAGCCTAGAAATGTTTTCTTAGAAGCAGTCTCCAAGGTCTTACTTCCATAAGACCTAAGATTACCTGAATTTAGCACCTGCTGAAATAAAAATTTAATTCATTACTAATGTGTTCAATGATTTCAATGGGCCTTAAATGCAACTACCTTTGTCAGCATCCAATCCCAATATGTGTGTGGTTGGGATTTGAATTTAATCAGTTACTCTAACACATGGGTCCTCAAACTATGGCCCGTGGGCTGGATCCGGCCCACCATGCCCATTGATCTGGCCTGTCATAGCTCGCCATGCCCGGCCTGCGCCCCCTGCCCACACCGCCTTGGCGGCCCACACCCATCCCTGGCACCTTTCAACTGGCCCCCTATTCAAAAAGTTTGAGGACCCCTTCTCTAACATGTACTGTTAATATGGCTCTTGTTATTCCTGCATCAAGAGAACTACTATTGAGAAGTAGGTGCTGCCACCTTGGAGTTATGAGTACTTCGTTGGCTCTGCTGCCACTACCAGTATCTTTCACTGAAAAACTTTCCATAGTGGGGAAACAAACTGCACAAGGTCTCCTTTCAGATGGTGTCCTATCCATGAATCTATTGACACAGGGAATTCAGTGCCACAAGGTGTAGTGATTGATGTTCTCTTACTTGGGGCATGGCCTATAGCCAGAGGAAAATTCAGAGTCCCAGCTTCAACCTCAGTCCTTCAAATCTGGTGTGCCCTCTTCTCACAACCAGTGTAATTCTTACTACACCAGAACCTGGCTGTGGATCTTGAAGTTGCAAGATTGACCCTGAAGCTGGCATAGGAGGAGAAGGGAGGAGGAAGGGATGGAAGGAGTCCCAGCAGTGCCTCGGCCTGCCTTCTTTGTAAGCAGGTGCAAATCGGCCATCAGCCTCTGTGCACCTTCTGTCCTCAGCAGGATGCTTGTGGTCAGTCCTCTGAGTGTACAAGGTTACTGGCAGCCACACTGGATGGCACTGCCTGATGATACACAGGTCTGTTGACAGCTATTCATCATAGTAGAGTGAAGCACCCTTGTTTGGAGGCAGTATACCTGCCGAAAATGGGAGCTAAACAAAAGGAGATGGCTACCAGTGGTGTGTGCCACTGATATTTGTCCTGGGAGCAGCTTGCTGCCCAGAACTGGAAAAGACTTCTGGGCCATCTGGATCTTGGAGTGATTCAGCTGTACAATTCATATGTTTCCCATTGCGCATTGGTGGTGGGGAGGGGTGATACTCATAAACAGTGATATCATGGACATTGTCCATTTAGTATCTGAAAGAGACAGCCAGCCTCCCATTCATATCAACAGTGTAGCAGCAATAATAGAATCCAGTTTATTATTATTTTTTTAAGTTTAGATGCAACCTTGCATGTTACAGAAATCTGCAAAATGGGATTGACTAATGATCATGAATCACAATCCACAATGTGGCTCTACAATACTACCCTCACATCTCTACAACGTTGCTGGCAGCACACAGACCCTGTTGAAGTTCTGAGGATCTCACAGTCCTGCTGAGTGTGCAGAAAGGAAGGCTAAATAGTAGAGCCTTTTCATATGACAGAAAAAGATTTTACTCTTCAGGCTAGCATTATCTTGAGCACTGGTGTAAAGTCCTGTTCTCACAGATGATTGGGGTACATTAGCAGAGGGAGGATTATAACTCTGAGCACATGCTTAACATGTAGGAATTCCCAGGATTCAATCTCGGGCGTTCCCCTTTTAGGGACCTTAAGTCACAGGACTACAGCCAGGAGATGAGCCAAGGTGATGTGGTTTGAAATGGCATTGCTGGGTGCATGTGTGTGGAACGTTTAGAAGTTACTGATCCATCCTGTGGAGTCTCCCAAGAACAGCCTTCTCCAACATGGTGCCCTCCAGATGTACTGAACTGAAGCATCCAGCCAGCTGGGGATTTTGACTGTTGCTTCCCAAAACATCCAGGTTGCAAAAAATGCCAGAGAATGTGTTGGCATAGTTGACTCAATTGAGGGGAAAACACATGCAGGTACAAAGTGATGGTTCAGCACTAGCAGAGATAACTGTTTCCATCTTCCAGCTAATAATTCCACCCTTCCCTGTATTCCATGAAAACTGATCTCAGAGATGCACTTGTAGAATTCAGAGCTGAATTTACTTAAAAAACCTGAATCCAATGGTATTTAGTTCCTATAAGGATATTTGTGTAGTGCAATGAAGATATGAGCTATGCTGTGCAAGGACACTCAGGACGGTCAGGTCATAGCAGAGAGTGCTGACAAAAGGTGATCCACTGGAGAAGGAAATGGCAACCCACTCCAGTATCCTTGCCATGAAAACCCCATGGACAGTACCAAAAGGCAAAGAGATATGATGCCGGAAGATGAGCCTCAGGTTCAAAGGTGTCCAAAGTGCTACTGAGGAAGAGCAGAGGGCTAGTACTAGTAGCCGAAAGGACACTCAGTTGCAGATGTATCCGATGGTCCCATGCTGTAAAGGAAAGTTCGATGCTGTAAAGTAAACTACAGCATAGGAACCTGGAATGTAAGATCCATGAATCAAGGTAAGCTGGACATGGTCAAACATGGGATGACAAGACTGAATGTCAACATCTTGGGAATCAGCAAACTAAAATGGACAGAATGGGTGAATTTAATTCAGATGACAATCAGGTATACTACTATGGACAAGAATCCCTCAAAAGAAATGGAGTAGCCTTCATAGTCAATAAAAGAGTGGGAAAAGCAGTACTGGGATACAATCTCCAAAATGACAGAATGATCTCAGTTCAAATCTAAGACAAACCATTCAACATCTCAATAGTCCAAGTCTATGCCCCAGCCACTGATGCTGAAGAGGGTGATGTTGACCAGTTCTATGAAGGTCTACAACACCTTCTAGAAATAACACCAAAAAATGATGACCTTATCATCATGGGGGATTGCAATGCTAAAGTAGGAAGCCAAAAGATAACTGGAATAACAGGCAAGTTTGGCCTTGGAGTACAAAATGAAGCAAGGCAAAAGCTGGCAGAATTTTGTCAAAAGAACATGCTGGCCATAGCAAACATGCTGGTCATTTTCCAACAACCCAAGAGACGACTCTACACATGGACATCATCAGATGGTCAACAAAGAAATCAGATTGACTATGCAGCCAAAGATGGAGAAGCTCTATACAGTCAGTAAAAACAAGACCAGGAGCTGACTGTAGCTCAGATCATGAACTTCTTGTTGCAAAATTTAGGCTTAAATTGAAGAAAGTAGGGGAAAGCATTAGGCCACTCAGATATGATCTAAATCATATTCCTGCTGAATATACAGTAGAGGTGACAAATGGATTTAAGAAATTAGATCTGATGGACAGTGCCTGAAGAACTTTGGATGGAGGTTCAGAACATTGTGCAAGAGGCAGCAACTAAAGCCATCCCAAAGAAGAAGAAATGCAAGAAAGCAAAACAGCTGTCTGAGGAAGCTTTACAATTAGCTGAGGAAAGAAGAGAAGTGAAAGGCAAGGGAGAAAAGGAAAGATACACCCAACTGAATGCAGAATTCCAGAGAATAGCTAGAATGCCTTCTTAAATGAACAGTGTAAACTTACACTGTAAAGAAATAGAAGAAAGCAATAGAATAGGAAAGACTACAGATCTCCTCAAGAAAATTGGAGATACGAAGGGAATATTTCATGCAAAGATGGGCATGATAAAGGACCAAAATGGCAGGGACCTAACAGAGGCAGAGGAGATTAAGAAGAGGTGGCAAGATTACACAGAAGAACTATACAAGAAAGACCTTAACATCCCTGATAACCATAATGGGGTGGTCGCTGACCTCGAGTCAGACATCCTGGAATGTGAAGTCAAAAGGGCCTTAGGAAGTCTGAGCAACAACAAAGCTATTGGAGGATACAGTATTCCAACTGAGCTCTTCAAAATCCTAAACGATGATGCAGTAAAAGTGCAATATGCCAGCAAATTTGGAAAACTCAGCAGTGGCCACAGGATTGGAAAAGGTCAGTTTACATTCCAATTCCAAAAAAGGGCAACGCCAAAGAATGTTCAAACTACCACACCATTGCACTCATTTCTTTTTTTAATAAATTTTGAGAAATTCTAATCCTAAAAAAACAAAAAGAAAATTACAAACAACATCCATCATCAAAAACATGGAGCCCGCTGGGTCAACCCGCACCCACTTCTTTTTCCATTTATGATAACTTAAAAACATATTTAAATCTATGTGAAGTCCCGTTTCTCTAGCCAATAATAAAAAAAATTGCACTCATTTCACATGCTAGCAAAGTTATGCTCAAAATCTTACAAGCTGGGCTCCAGCAGTTTGTGGATTGAGAACTACCAGAAGTACAGGCAGGGTTTTGAAGAGGCAGAGGAACTAGAGATCAAATTGTCAACATACGCTGGATCATGGAGAAAGCTAGGGAGTTCCAGAAAAACATCCACTTCTGCTTCATTGACTATGCTAAAGCCTTTGATTGTGTGGCCTTTGCTTGTGTGGATTACAGTAAATTGTGGCAAGTTCTTAAAGAGGTGGGTGTACCAGACCATCTTAATTGACTCTTGAGAAACCTGTATGCAGGTCAAGAAGCAACAGTGAGAACTGGACGTGGAACCACTGATTGGTTCAACATTGGGAAAGGAGTACGGCAAGGCTGTTTATTGTCACCCTGCCTATTTAACTTATATGCAGAGCACATCATGAGAAAGGCGGGGCTAGATGAATTTCAAGTTGGAATTAAGATTGCTGGGAGAAATATCAACAACCTCAGATAAGCAGATGATACCACTCTAATGGCAGAAAGTGAAGAGGAACTAAAGAGCCCCTTGATGTGGGTGAAAGAGGAGAGTGCAAGAATTGGCTTGAAACTCAACATTAAGAAAACTAAGATCATGGCATCTGGTCCTCTCACTTCCTGGCAAATAGATGGGGAAGAAATGGAGGTAGTGACAGATTTTGTTTTCCTGGGCTCCAAGATCACCGCAGATGGTGACTGCAGCCAAGAAATTAAAAGACGCTTGCTCCTGGGGAGGAAAGCTATGGCAAATCTAGACAGCATACTAAAAAGCAGAGACATCACCCTGCCGACAAAAATGCGTATAGTCAAGGCTATGGTTTTCCCAGTTGCAATGTATGGCTGTGAAAGTTGGACCAAAAAGAAGGCCGAGCGCCGAAGAATTGAGGCCTTTGAATTGTGGTGCTGGAGAAGACTCCTGTGAGTCCCTTGGACCGCAAGGCGATCAAACCAGTCAGTCCTAGAGGAGATCAACCCTGACTGCTCTTTAGAAGGCCAGATACTGAAGATGAAGCTCAAATACTTTGGCCACCTAATGAGAAAGAAGAACTCCCTGGAGAAGAGCTTAATGCTGGGAACAATTGACGGAAAAAGAAGAAGGGGACAGCAGATGATGAAGTGGCTAGATGGAGACACTGAAGTAGTGGGTGTGAGCTTAGGTGGACTCCGGGGGATGGTGGAAGACAGGAGATCCTGGAGTAATGTTGTTCATGGGGTCGCAATGGGTCTGGCACAACTTTGCGAATAACATAAGGATATTTGTGGGTGTAGAGTATGCACACATAAATACATGCACATTGTGCTATAGTTGCTATATGACACAGGCCGTATGGATAAGTAAATACAGAATCTTGAAAGAAGAAAAATTGGAGAACTTAAATATTTAAGTGTTGGGGGGGCAGGGGTGCTTTAGGTCTAGCTAAACAAATTCCGTTGGTTGGGATTCCACCTGCCCTTCCACTGCCCCATAACTCCATTGAAATTTGTGTCTGAATTTGTAGGTATACAGCAGACGAAAAGAACCAGATTACCGGCCCTCTTTCATTTACACCGCTCACTCGATAAACTGCCCCCCCCCATCTCCTTCTAGAATTTATGGCACGCATCAAGCCGCTTGCTGCGGGGAAAGGAAATTTGTAGCTCCGAGACACACGCAGTGAGAAATCTAGCGATGATGATGTCGCCTCGGGATTAAATCAAGTGGAGGTGATGTCAACGTGCGTGCCTTCGAGGAAACACACACAGAGAGAGCCCACCTCCCTTCCCCGAACAATGCCCGGGGCTGCCCAGGAGAACGCTCTCCTTTCCCACGTCACCGGTGCCACCGATTATAAGTGTGCTCCCGCCAGCGCGATGGCTGTGTGCACGTCTCCGATAGCTGGAGCCGCGAGGGCCGCCCGGGAGGGAACTTCTTGGCAGGGCGCAGCGGGGCTCGGACGCGGCAGCGGGCGCCTCCTGCCTCCACGTCGCCTGCGACGCGATCCCCAGAGCGAGGCCGGCTTGCCTCCGCCGAGCCGGCGATGGAGACGCTGCCGGCCGCCCTGGCGTGGCTCTCGCTGTGGCTCCTCCGGGCCGCCGCGGCGCTCCACGGCTCCCCCTGCGAGCCGGTGCGCATCCCCATGTGCCGGAACATGCCCTGGAACATCACCCGCATGCCCAACCACCTGCACCACAGCACGCAGGAGAACGCCGTCCTGGCCATCGAGCAGTACCAGGAGCTGGTGGACTTCGGCTGCAGCCCCGTGCTCAGCTTCTTCCTGTGCGCCATGTACGCGCCCATCTGCACGCTGGAGTTCCTGCACGACCCCATCAAGCCGTGCAAGTCGCTGTGCCAGCGCGCCCGCGACGGCTGCGAGCCCGTCATGCGGCGCTACAACTACAGCTGGCCCGAGGGCCTGGCCTGCGACGAGCTGCCCGTCTACGACCGAGGCGTGTGCATCGCCCCCGAGGCCATCGTCACGGACCTTCCCGAAGGTGGGAGAGGCGCGGCGGGGCAGGCGGACGGAGAGCCGGGGCGGGGGGGGGGGGGAGTCCAGCCGAAGCAGGGAGAAGCCGGGCTGGGGCTGGGGCTGGGGCTGGGGAGAAGCTCACGGGGGCACTTGAGGCTAGTCGCCAACTCCCAGGCTAAGCTGGCCCACAGGGCTGCGCGGGGGGTAAGCGTGAGGACAGCGAAAGCCTCGCAGAAGGGAAAAGGGCGGGATATACATCGCATGGGAACAGAAACAAATCACAGCAATGCAATGCAGCACGCGAGTCCATCCTAAATAGTCATCCCTTGGCTACTTACCCAGCCCCAAATAAGCGTCATTGGACTCCGTTCGGCTGAGTTCTGAGTAGGTTTGCTCTTGCAAAGAGTTCCCTACGGGTCGCCCGGGGCACCACGACCAGGTATTGCAATCATCATTATAACAACAGCTAGAAAAATATGCACCCCGGTTCCACCCGTTTGTACTTCGAAGTGGGTCCAGCTGGTTTCAGTCAACAATGTCCCACGCTGGAGACATTCAAAAAGAACCTGGACAGCCACCTGAGTGGGACAGTGTAAACTGGTGTCCTGCAACAGCAGGGGGGTGGACTCGATGGCCTTCATGGCCCCTTCCAACTCCACTGTTCTATGATTCTTTTCCCTTTTCAACGTGATCTTCGACAGCTTTACTCAGAACAAATCCTGCTGTGAAGAAAAATATTAAGGGCAGGCTCCTTAGGAGTTTTGCAATTTAAAGGCAAAATCCTATGCAAATTTAGACAGAAAAAGAAGTCCCACAGCTCCCTGCATCCCCAGGCAGCGTTATGGGAATTGTGCGGCCTAAATATGCCTAGGATTGCGCTCTAAAGCACGTTTATGCTTCAGTCGTGCCCGCCACGACCTGGATGGCAGGCTCTGGGTGGGGAGCGACAACTCCGCTGGTTTTGGGAGAAACGCAGCGAGCGGGCTCACGGCGCGGGCCCACGCGTGGTTCGCTGCTTTGGGAGGCATTCAGACGGCGCTCCTGGGCGCGCTTGCTTGCGGGCAGAAGGAAACTGAGCCACTGGGGCGCTGCCGTTTCCCCGGGCTTCTGCATCACGCCGAAAGAGAGACGGGTCCGCGGTTGAGAGAAAGATGGAGAGAGAAGGGAAGAAGGGGAAATAGGTGAGCGTGTATGAGAAGGAGCAAATTGTACGGCTATGTAGAGAGATAGCTATATGGCAAAAGAAAAGAAAAGATGTATGAGAATATGTGTATGTATACGGGACAGCGGATAATATAACGAGGGAGGGAGGGAGGGAGGGAGATGATACAGCCAGAGAGAGAAAAAGAGGGGATGATATCCATCCATACGTCTGTCCTGCTATATCGAGCGATAGACAGAGAGAGAAGTATGTTTGCCTGCCTATCCAACCAACCAACCACTCACCCGTGTGCACTTCTCCCTCCCTCCCTCCCTCCCTCCCTCCCGCTCGACTCTGCCCGCTCCTCCCGCGCAGAGGACATGAAATGGATCGACCTCTCGGACGACGTGATGGCCCACGAACGAGCGCCGCCGTCCGACTGCCCCCAGAAGGGCGCCCGCGGTGAGTTGCCCGAGCGCCGCTCGCGCTCCTGCCCCGCGACGGAGCCCGCGGCCGGCGCTCGCGGGTCTTGATCCTCTCTCCCTTTTCTTTCCCTTTCCGGATGAAGACCGCTGCAAGTGTCAAAAACTCAAGCTCACGCTGGCCATGTACCTGAACAAAAACTACAGCTACGGTAAGCCCCCGGACGAATCGGTTCTTTTTTTTCTGATCTACGAGCTGGGCGCGCGATCCTTAGCATGCTTAGCTGGGGGAGAGCAGTTCTGCCCTTCGCAGACGGCTGGGGGACCATGTGTCATCACCTGCTCTTCTTTCCCCGGCTTTTTTCTCAGGATCGCGGCCCTTCTGCCCCGCTTTCCCCCTGCCGGGAGTGTCTCCGGCCGGATGCAATCTGCCATGTTCATTGTCTGGCTGGATATTTTGAGAAATTAACGAGAATTCCAAAAGAATTGTGATGTTCTTCTCTTTGCTGCTTTCCTCCCAAATTTTGGGCTTCTTCTCTGGCAGTATAACTAGCTTTGATGCTTTACGAGTTGGTGTTCTTGGATGGGAAGAGTGGGGTGAGAAGAAAAGCGATTTCTTTGTAGAACCAAATGTTTATGAATCAGCGTGAATAATCAAAAAAGACAAGTGAGATCCCTGATCTTCCTTTACAAATAAACCCAACTGTTAAGGTGTCCTGTTCTTCAACTAATCTTCCTAATGTTATAGTATTTTCTATGCCTGAAAAAAATACATGTAAAGCTGTTACTTAAATTGGGAGTGTGTTCCACTGAACTTGGATAATTCCTTCTGAGTAAACTCTGGGTGTAAAGTTCCATTAGAAATTATATCTGAATCATAACCATACTTACCTGAAAGTATTCTTACAATAGGTCTGACAGCTTTCTAATAAGCAGATTTCTAGGAATGTAGTCGCATATGCATATCCAAATTCTGGCATATTTGCCAAGAAATAAGTCCCACTGAACTCAGTGGAACTTACTCCCAAGCAACTTGCATGGATTTGGAGCCTTAAGGCAAAATCCTATGAATGATTAGACAGGAAAAGGTGCTGCAGCTGGGTGGAGGGATGCTGAAAGCTGTAGGATCACTTTCTGCCTAAACATGCATGGAATTGTAGGTGTAGGCATTCTCCATTTTTTTTGGATTAGAGACCCTTCCCCATAGACCCATATACCTTTTGGCTGGATATGATCCTGTGATGAACCTTACTGAAAGCAGTTGACTTGCTTCTAGGAAAAGTGCATTTTGGGTTAATTCTCTGCTGGAAACAGCAGCAGCGTAAAATTTTCCTGCAGTCCTAGAATGAAAAACTGAATGTAAATATTCAGATGGTTAAATTTAATAAAGCATTCTTTTAGAGGAGTTGATAATGTATTCTGTGTGGATCCATATCAATAGGAATGTAATGTTTTATCTGAGGGCTTGTCACATCTTGACTAGTGCTAGAAATGCCCCTATGCTAGAAATGCTAGAAATGAGGCCATGGTATGTTCCAAGCGCAGTTATGCTCAGAGCAACCCCTCTAAAATCAGTGGAACTTCAGTTAGTGATGGTTAATTTGTCCCAGAGATTTCAATAGGTCCACTCGCATGACTCATTCTGGATTCAACACATTCTAATAGACATTTTAAATGTATTGTTGTTGTCTTATACATTCAAAACAGCTGGTTTCTTTTCAAAGTTAAAGAAGCCAAGTTGTTGGCAGTTTGATGAGGAAGCAGATCATCCAGCTATATAGTAACACAGTGACATATTGGATGAGAAAGATCAGAACCAAGATTGGAATATTTATTATTCCAACTCACATATGAGCCTTTTTTGATATGTAAAGAGCAACACTATACAAGTGTATTTATCTCCAACTGAATTCAAGGGAAATTACTCTCAGGTCAGGTCAATGTGTCTAAGTTTGCAGCTTCAGTGAGATCTAAATGAAACAATGAATGAATTAAAACTTTGTATTTCAGCGAGGGCATTCTGTGTATCTAAGCAGGCTTCTGCCTGGGTATCATGAGCAGAGTGATCCTGTGTCCCACAGAGAATGTTTAGAGGGTCATATGTTTGTTTCTAGATCCAAGGTCAGAAAAAAGCACAGACCTCAGAGCTACATCTCTGAGACATAACAGCAACCTCAGGGAAGGGTTGAGTAGGGCATTCTGGGGGAAAGGAAATGGAGGAGGATGGGTCTGCCAGCATATGATGTATCTTGGCAGCACCGCTCCCTCCTTTCCCTGTCTGAAGTGCCTCAGCTGGACGGATAAATCTGCAGGGTGGGCACGGGAAGGATCTAGAGGCTCAGAGGAGGTACAAAGAGCCTAAGCAGGTGCAAGGGATCCAAGGCGGCCCACGAACTGTGCATGGGGGTGGGGATAGAAGGTTTTTCAGGGCCAGATTGGGGGCCACTACCTAGCCTAGAGTAAAAGTAAAAAAGACTAGAATTCTGAGGATCAAAATATGCCTGTTCTGGCCTTCAGACGCCCTGGGAAAACACTGATGTTTTAACTGCCCTTCTCACATCAGTCAAAGTCCTCTACTAGATGGGTTTCCCTTTTGAGGCAATTCCACAAAGCAGGAACCACCACCAAGTAGGCACTTCTCTGGTAGCTGATAGGCTTGGTTCCTCCCTAGCCAGTTGGATCCAGAAGCAGCTGCCATTTATTTATTTATATCCCACTTTTTTCCTTCCATGAAACTCAAGGCAGCTTTCATAGTGCTCTTCTTCCCTTCAGTCTTCTCCTCACAACAACAACCCTGTGAGGAAGATTGGGTTGCAAATCTGTGACTAGCCCAAGATCACCCATGGGTGAATGGGGACTAGAACTCGGGTTGCATGAGTCCCAGTTTTGCATTCTAACCACTATACTACACTGGCTTTCCCATGGATTGTTTGCAACTCTCAGGGAAGGTGGGAGCCATCCAGTGGCAGGCTATCTGAGCAGGACATTGAGGGTCTTTTAAAAGCTCAAAAGCAGCACCCAGAAACTTTGGCAATATTCTTTTCTCGCTGTTCTCACTAGCATAATATTTTGAAGTTGCTGCGAATGGCCTCTGGACAGAAGTGTTAACAAGGAAGCAAATCGAACTACAAAGATGTTGGCTTAGCTTGTAAATGTTAATGAAGTGTTGATTCAGTTTATCCAATTTCTAAGGACAACCTCTGCCTCCTCCTGTGCACAATCCTGCTTTATCATTCATAGAATAATAATTTTAAGAGAGTTTAGCTTCTCATGTAAAACGTTCTACTTGTAGACTTGCAGTAAGATCTTAAATATATTCAATCAAGAACAAAACTCACCATTCAATGAGACTTACTCTTAAGTACAGGGGGAGGCAACCTGGTGCCATCAATACATTTTGGACTGCAATTCTGGACGAGCCAAGCTACCTGGAGCAAATTGGAATCTCTGCCTACCCCCACTTTACATGAGGTTTCTTGCGGTCGGTTTGCTTGTCCAAACTTTTACCCATGTGGCATCATTCATCCACCCTTCTTTTCCGTACTGTAGTTATTCATGCCAAAGTGAAGAGCTTGGAGAGAGGAAGCTGCAATGAAATCATCACCATGGTTGATGTGAAAGATGTACTGAAATCTTCAACTCCAGTTCCCCGTTCTCTGATTCCTCTGTATACTAACTCATCCTGCCAGTGCCCACCTCTTCTGCCAAACCAAGATGTCCTCATTATGTGTTATGAATGGCGCTCTAGGTAAGTGATGATACACTAGCAAGAAAACTGCATGTGGGGGTCATATTAACAACAGTGTATTCTGGCGAACACACCAAATTGCACCCACTGTATGCACGGAGCTGCCATAGCCATTGAAGTGAATGGGCGTTCCAGTGAAGGCAGAGCATCTCTATGCACCTGAGGGCTGGTGTGGCATAATGACTAGAATGTTGAACTTGGACTGGGTCCTGGGTGGTCCTGTGACAGCCATGATGCTTCATGGATTAGTCAGTCACTTTAACTCCATTTAATCCTGTAGTCAGGCTTGTTGCCTGCTGCTCTGAACTCCTTGGAGAAAGGCTGGGATATAACCATGAGTAAGAAGATGTGGAACTTCCATCAAAACGCCCCTCTTTGGAATGTTCCTGTTCAGGAAACTCCATTCCACTCTCTAATAGTCAATCATAATTCTGTATTATCTGTGCATGCTCAGTCCTCACTGGGCTTCCACCATGCAGGGTTTTCTCCCTGAACAGGATCCTAATATAGTTCTGCAAACCTGAAGGTTCCCCTAAGATGCCAATTTATCTTTCTTGCATGTCGATGGAGGTGCTTCATCTATATAAACAGCACTCAAAGGACTGAGATCCTTAGTGATGTACACAAGTGAGGCCTGCAACAAAATGTTGCAGTGTGGAGTACTCCTGTTCAGGATAGCCCATTCCTCTTCCCTCCCAGATTTCGGGGTTCCCCAGTTCAGTCAGCATCCCACGGTCACTGAGCACGCTCAGTCCTTATTTATTATTGAAGGGATCACCCTTCAGTTTCCCGACCGGGGATTTTAAATATTTTTTTTAAAATGTGGAATTTTTCAGGCCTGCCTTTATACCTCTGCCTTGTGCATAAGTGGTGCTGCCTTGGCTACATAAGCAATGCTTCTGGGAAATTTGAGTTTTCTATTGTTACATATATATTACCAAACTCATCCTGCCTTAGACAGGTTGGAATGTCCTTTGTTTGATACAGCAAAGCTGTCAAGCAATCCTACACAGCTATCCAAGTTGATGCACTGGGCCCACCCCACCTGAATGAAGCCAACTCATTGGCAACCCTAGGCAAGGCTTCTGCTGTAATACACTCCTATAGTTCTCTAAAGAAGGGGTCTGTTCACAGCATACCTGATGGGGAGGAGGCTGCCCTGCAGCAATATATCTCTGTGTCTTGGCTGACGAATGTCCTCTGGCTTCATACTGCATGGACTGCAAAACTAAGGGAAGTCTGTCCTTACAGCTAAAGATGCTCCTGTAGGCTTCAAACACATACACATGTATGAATGTGATGATGAAACAGAATAACCCTGAGCTGCACATGCCTGAGTCCTCTTGGTGTGCATGCCAAATTTCAGGTATCTACATTTGATGATTGTGGCACCATGATGCTGACAGAGGGACAGACAGACAGACATTCTCTCTTATTCCTACAGATGCAAGATGGTGGTGGTGGAGATAAATCTGGTCTTTTATAGCCATAGGTGACTGCATTTGAACAAGAAAGGGATGGAAATTGGAATAATCAGGATGGCAGAAACACTGGTTTAAAATAAAACTTAAAGATTGAATGTCTAAGTTTTGATTCTGCAGTGTGAGAGAAAATGGAGCCTAAAAGAAAGATAGCAGTTCATCGCATGAGATTGTAGAACGCCAATACATGAGTGTGAAGGCATTCAAAATTAATCTAGGGATTGGGAATAGAATGCAAAAGAGTTCCATATTTCATGGAAGAAGTTTGCCGATGGTGTTTTTAAAGGTCATTGAGGTTTCATTTGATATGCTTTGTCAAAGGGTTTGAAAAAGAGAGCAAAAACAAAAATATTGTGTTTCCCATTGAACTTGGCCACATGTAAACAGGGATTGAGTTACAGTGGCTTTTAAAATGTCAGAAGTAACGGTCACTTGCTTGGAAAAGTGAAAAAAAGACCACATTCTTGTTTCGATCACAAATCCCCCTTTTATGATTATATTGTGGGCCTCCGCCTTGGATTAAAGGACATGGAAGTCTTGCATTCATCTGGGGCCATAACAGCAAAATTCATCATAAAACACTCAGTCTGGTACAGTACTAGGTCCAATGCACATACTGATATGAGTGTTGCAGGGCAGAAAATATGTCTTCTTCTCTAACCCATATCCGTGTCCGTGTTCATGTCTGTGTCCATATGCAGACTATATCCATAGCCATATCTGGCAGGTTAACAACATACACAGACAAAGGTCATGCTATCCAGAACATGGACCATCTCCACAGAAATATACAAGCCCAAATAGACCTGTGAAAGATAATATCTTGGTGAATTTTGCCCTGACTTTTCGTTTTGCATTTCATAAGCTGCGATAACTCTCTTTTACTGTATACAACAGCCATGAACAGGGAGAAAAAAGTGATTCAGAACAAAGTGGAGATGTTGGCAAATGCTACAAAACCAAGTCCTTGGGCTGGATTTTGGAGATACATTTCAAATCTGGCTCCAGACTGTTGGACAAGTCAATGCCAAAATGAATCTTTAAAATGATAACATTATTGCTGGTTCATGCTGGGGTTGAACACAGGCTTGCTTTTCTGATTCTAGCATATGTCTGATAAATTAATTTGGATTATTTCTGGAATAGATGGAGAGTGGTATCCATTGCAGGATAAGGCAATTTATTTAAAATTATCTTATATAGAAATATAAATATATACAATTAGTCAGAATATAATAATTAAAGGGACTCTTGTAGCAGTAAATTGTGCAAATTCCCTGTTTAAATCTACATTTTTGTTTACATTGCATTGTTAATGAAACGACTGATAAAAGGAAATCGAGAGAGCAATCCTCCTTGTGAAGATGTTACAGGGGCCTTAGGATGCGGCAGATTTCCCTTTTCATGGGAGGAGGAAGTCCGCTAGTGCAGAACAAGGGCTACCAACAAAGTGTTACTTGTTACAATGGGAGAAACCAGCACTACCACCCGTTCTTCAATTTGGGTACTCCTATGGTGGTACGGAGCAAAAGAGGGCATGCTGAGCGTACTGGGACAGCTTAAGGGAGGTCTTAGTTCCATAGGATCTAACCCCCTCTCATTTCTCTTCTACCTGTCAAAAGATTGCTCTAGATATGAAATTTTATTGTCACTGTCTAGCCAATTTTAAAGCATTCAAATACTGTTGATTCCAGCACAAACCTATGGTTACATCTTCTACATTTCTATTCAGAAGCAAGTCCCATTGAGCTGAATGGAACTTACCCCCAGGTTAGGAAATATAGGAATACAACCTGAAATACATCTCCTCCAGGGAAATCAGTGGAATACAGAAGTATCCCATGTTTATGTTGCATTCGGTAAGGAAACAAATTCCATTGTTCTTACATGTTTTTGTTTTTCCATTTATTTCAGACTGATGCTTCTTGATGGATGCTCAGTTGAAAAATGGAAGGACCCCTTAAGCAAAAGATTTAAGGTAAGAGCATTTTCTTGACATTTCCACATACCTTCACTTTTAAAATAGGGTGTGGTAATTTCTCACTTCAGTTGCCTATATGTGGATTTTATAATGTCTAGCACGCAGCCCAGATTTGGCTTGAGGCTAACCCCTACCTGGCCCATGGGATCTTCCACAATTCCTTCAGGGGATGGAATTTAGCCTTTAAGCTCCCCTCCCTGGAGGGCATCTCTGCCTCAGATTGAGATAGTAGTAGGGGTTCCCTGAATGCTTCTGTTATAGAGTCTATTCTTCAGTCTGCTCACCTAAAGTCAGTAGTCAAACTGGGCAAGAACAGAGAGGTCCAAGCTGATGAAAAAACATTAACTAATTCCAATCAAACTATGAAGCCACACTCATCAACAAACTTAGATTACCCAAAAAACATTATCAGAACTTTTGGCAAAACATCCAACCATTTTCATCCCTGGCTCATTGTTGTTGTGGCTCATCAATTAAGCACATGTGTATAAGAAGCCACATTCTGCAACACATTAACATAAACCCTGTCTGTATATAAACAGATGCATAAACACAATGCTAAGGTTTATCCCTTCCACACCACAGGATTTCAAGGGGAATGTATTACACTGACCACTTCCCTTGGCAGGCTCATCTTTGCCAAAATGTTCTGGGGATTTTTTAAAAATTCAATTTATCTTGCTGGAAATTCCCTTTGAGACCTCTTTGGTCATGTCTTACCAGAAAACACAGAGAAGCCCGTGTTTGGTTTGAGCAGAGAGATCCACTCTTAGAAATACGTTCTTCTTGGACTTCCTTTAGTATGCACAGCTGTTTTGTGTCTTGGGTTAAGTGGCAATATTTACCATATAGATTTCTGACAGCTCAATGAAAGGGATACCTGGAAGTTTTAAAATGTACGATGGGCACTTGTGCCTACTCTAAAGTAAAAACTGAAAACAGATATAGCTATTAGATACAGACTTAGTTTTTGTTTTGGCTCTAAGGTTCCATTAGGTTTTTGTTTAAGTTGGATTCCGTATTTCCAGGAGCTACCAATGTCAGGGTCAGACCTTCAGATAATGAGTTCATCCAGAAAGAGTGTGATGAAGAAATGATATAAATGCTTCCATCTACTATACAAGTCACCTCCAGCTTGCACCAAAGCTTACTCGAGCACCAGTGTTCATAGATGCCTGGTTTGTGTCATTTCTTCTCAATAAACAAACAAACAAACAAACAAATAAAGCGGGGTGGTGGGTGGGGAGAAGACACATGCAAAAGAGGCCAACACGTAGTCAGGCACAACTAGTTTACATGGGAGGCTATCTGTGTAGTGGAGGTAGAACTGGCCTCAAGGGTTGGCATGATGGGGAACCTGCAGGTTGCCTGCATGCTAGCAGGAGTCCTCCTGACAAGAATTCCTTGGTCCTCTCTTCTTCACCATTGCAACATGCTGTTCATCCTTTACTTGGCTGGCTCAGACAACAATGGTTGGAAGAGGCCGTAAGAACACAAGCACAGAAGAGGAGCCATTTTGGATGGATGCAATGGTTCATTTGCTCCAGCATTCTGTTCACACATAGGCAAACCAGCTGCCCACTGGATCCCACAAGCAGAATATGAGTGCAACAACACCCTTGTGCCCAGGTTCTCTGGCACACTGGCTTTGATACACCAGGGCTAGTAGCCACTGATAGCTTTCTCCTCCATGAATTTGTCTAATCCCCTTTTAAAGCTGTCCTAATTGGTGGCTATCGCCACATCCTCTGGAGGTGAATTCCACGGCTGAACTTGGCACTATGTGAAGAAGTACTTCCTTTTATCTCTTTCAAATCTCCCACCAATTAGCTTCACGGAATGACTCCAGGATCAAGTACTGGGAGAGGGAAAATAATGTTCCCTTATGTACTTTCTCCACACCTCTAGCATGTCTCAACCTTTTTCTAAGCTAAACAGTCTCAGCTATTGTAACTTTTCCCCATAGGGGAGTTGCTCCAACCCCTTGATCATTTTAGTTGCCCTTTTCTGCAGTAGACGCCAGTGCCACTACCTCCTGCCTGGCAAGCTAGCAGTCGGTAATAATGAGAGGAAGTGGAAGAGCAACATTTAGCAGGACTGCTGGTAAGAAGGTAGGCTTGTGGAGGGAGACGGTCTGCTGGGAGTATCTTACCCAACACCCCTCCAAAAGCCAGGGCTGGCACTGAGTGGAAGTGTGCAGCTGGTTTCATCCTTCTGTCAGACTGCTGCACCACCACTTCCAGGTGGGCATCCATAACATGGCAAAGCCAACCGTGTATTTGTGACCCGAGGTTCCTTTCCTCTTTCACTAACCTTTTTGTTCTTTTAAACCACTCCCTTGTCCCCCAGAGGTGGGAGCAGCGACTCCAAGAACAAAAGCTGCAAGCAGCCCCCAATAAAAAGCAGAATGCTCGAAACTCTGGTCGCAGTGGGATGCTGAAGCAAAATTCGAAGAATACCAACCCAGCACTGGCTGCTTCCAAGAAGATCAATAAACTCAGAAGTGACCCGAAAGAAGTCAGTTCCAAGAAGATATGATTTACAGGTTTTCCTATGACAAAAGTCACAAGCCGGCCAGAGTGGAGCATGTGTATCCCCTGACCTCATCAACATAAACATTTACTGCAGTATTCCAGATAGACATTATTTGCAGCAATTTACTTTTAATGGATTGCTTCTGTTCCACTTTAACCCACAGATACAGTTTTGCACTAACCCGAGGTGAGTTGATGAAAGCTGATTGATTAAGCATAGATTTCACATAGCCAGGCATAGTTTACCAATAGGAATCAGGACGGGCTGTGATATAAACCCATGTATGGTAGAATACCGCCTGCATGCTAAAGCCTTCTTTGCACATGTGCTCCAGAAGGAGGGCAGTCGCCGTTTCCTTCACAACGGTGAGCCTACCAGAAGGAAAGGGCAATGGCACCCTTTGCGTCCATCCTGCTTCTTCATAATGACGCTAGTCAAAGATGAATCTTCCTGTGGTGGTGCTGTGCAGAAGTCCGACAAGTATGTGAGAAATATGCCATGTGCTGAACATGTGCTTCTCCCTCTCTGCACATCAGCAGCAAAATCTGAAGCTGCCTTGGCAGGAGGGCCCATGTGCTCTTACTGTTTGTCCAAGATGGGGGGGTGAGTTTATGCAGAAAAACCAAACTAAATCAAACGTACTTTTGATTTACTTTTGGCCAGCTTTCACAAGCAGTGTTAATTTTACTTTAAGATGTTAGCTGAAAATCAGTACTTATAAACAACAAAACCCCCAACTCAAACTGAACATTTAGAAATTATACTTAGATATTTGCCACATGTGACGATTTCTAAAACACAGAATGAAATAATCTAAAGCTTCTAACTGAAAACATGACAAAGAGCAATTTCACCTTGTTTTAAAATGTCGTTGAAAAAATGCAAAAACATCACTATGAATACTTTGGCATGTTTTAAGTATTACTAACAAGTTTGATTAGGCAAAAAAAGCCCTGATCCATAGATCACTCCTTGTGTTTAGCGGGACTCATAGACCTCTTCTAAGTTTGGAAGAACCCACTCTTTTCAACGGATTGTACCAGCTAGCAAGCTCACTCCATTGAGTGCACAGCTTGCATCTTTCAATTGAAAATGAGTGGGAAGCTTTTGGAAATGTAATCAGTCTTTTCATGCACCAGATTTCCTGGGCTAATAGAATCAGGACAACTGGTTGCAATTCAGAACTCCACACACAGAATTTTCTACTGTCTATTCAGTATAAAAGCTGCAACCCATCATACTAACATTGACTGCACAGTATAAGAAGCTGCTATTGAAGCACTTCCTTATTTGATGCAGCAGAGTTTGAACATTGCTGTCCATACCCAATGATCCTGATTCAGTAACTTGGTATCACAAACACAATGACAGTTTTCACTGTCAGCTGTAGAATGGTTTGTGTTGGGCTACTTTGCCTTCAATAGCTGACAATAAGACTCAGCTGCACATGCAATTTTTCCCTGAATTTTAAGTTATGTCCCACTGGATCTAATCCAGAGATGAGCACACAAGAGGTCACGTACGCATAGCTGAACTTTCTTGTTTATAGTTGCACTCAAGTTTTAAACACTGGGGAGTTTTAAAATGTAATTTGCATTTGTATCAATGGGAGCCCTGGAGTGTAAATGGAAACAAAACATTTGGCTGCCCTTGCTTGTACAATAGACTCTTGAAGGACTGTGGCCAATTTGTTTGGCATTGGGATGTAAGTCTTTGTCAAACCCATCTCATAATCTTGCAGAATTGTAAACTGCCCTTGTTTTTACAGGGATCAATGATTTGCTCTCTTGCTGTCTGATTTTAAAGTCCATTACCTGTAAGGGGTACATAAAGAAATGCCTGTAACTTGTAGCAGCCACAATAAGCTTTTCTACTGGCAAAGCAAACCTGGCTGTGCACACAGCTAATTGGCTGACAGTTGACTGTGCACTACATTGATTAGCTGGTAGCTGTGACACCTCACCCTTCCATCCCTGGAGCGTTAGGATTTACTAAGAGATTGCACATTTTATACAAGAGCTGTCACATGTACATTCAAGTGTTTATCCATTGATTTGGTACCTTTTCACTATCTTTAAAAGCAACACTGATTTGTAAAACTACCGGGAAGGGGGAAGAGGAGATTCTAGAGCGGCAACCCAAGCAGTGTTGCACAAGTGGGCTCTGCTTCAAAATCCAATCCACTCACACTCAATTCTGGAGTGCAAGAAGTACGCCTGTACAAAACTTAGGTGACTGTGCTTCTAGAATAAGGAGGCATCTATTTCTGAAGTATCTCAGTTGTACCCTAACTAAATCCTGATGATTAATAATATAGGAAAACATAAAAATTGCAACATTAACATTACATTGCATTGCATTGCTATTTTTAAAAAATTATGTAATCAGTTACTACTTTTAACAAACTCAGTGTGTTGACTGACACTTCTGCAATGATTTGTAATATTGCTAGTATCTGGCATTTTTATTTCTGTGAAAAAAGAATCTTTCAACATTTGCTTTTCAGAAATTAAAAGGGGAAAATGTAAAATGATTGCCTACATTGATATTGCATCTTTACTTTATAATGAAAGTGACCATGATTCACATTCTACCATATGGAAGAATAAATTTTAAAGCCCTATTTGAGTATTGTAATTTTATTTTATTTCTGTACTGAAATGTAATTTTAGCAAGTTTGCTAGTAATAGTTCTGCAAAAACAGAAGTGCAGAGAGACTTCTTAAGGCCAGTTCTTAAACCCGCTTATCTTGACATTTCACAAGTGGAAGATTATTTAATCTGTTACTTAAACAGAAACACATTCCTCTGATATGCACCACAAAATATAGAAAGACAAATCTGGGCAAATATGTCATTTTAAATCACTGAGCCTGACCATATATGCTTCATTTTTTTTCAAACACTGAACAAATAAACATGTTTCAAACCACGAAGAATTTTAGCTGGAGTACTGTGTCCAGTTCTGGGTACCAAGTTTAAGAAAGAAGCAGACAAGCTGGAAAGGGTTCAGAGGAAGCGACCAAGGATGATCCAGAGTCTGGAAACAAAGCCCTATGAAGAGAGATTGAGAGGACTGAGCATGTTCAGCCTTGAGAGAAGATTGAGGGGTGACATGATAGCACTCTACAGGTCCTTGAAGGACTGTCACAACGACGGAGGACAGGATTTCTTCATGATCATCCCAGAGTGTGGGATGTGGAATAATGAGTTCAAGTTGAAGGAAACCAATTTCTGATTAGATATCAGGAAAAATCATTAGAGCAGTATGATAATGAACCTAATTACCCAGGGAGGTTATAGGCCCTGCCACACTAGAGGCATTCAGGCTGCAATGGGACAGTCATCGGAGAGGGATGCTGTAACCTGGTGCCATGCACTAGTGGAGGGTTGGATCCAGTGACCTTCTTGGCTCTTTCCAGCTCTGCTACTTTATGTTTCCATGATTCATGCTGGGCCAGAAGGAACTAAATCCACCAAATGGAACTCCAGTGGATCATCTAGTCAACATACTCTTCTGAAGAGGTTGTGTCTGAAAATAAGATGATAACAGGATGTTTTCTATCTACAACAAATTGTATCTGAATTCACCCAGAATGGAAACAGCTTTCAGTTAACTGAATTTTATATTTTCAAAAATGCTTGCTACTTTCTCCTTGCTGTAATTATAGGGACACTGACACCTGAAACTCTCGTATCACCTGGCAAAGCCCAACTGGAATGTCTTCAAATCCTCCCCCAAAGCATCTTAAGATTCTGATCCTGCAGGCATCCCAACTAAACATCCAGTCTGTCGTTATGTTCCATTTCGAGAGTTTTTGTGTATATTCGGTAACCAAAACTGGGTAGAACTATTGAATTCAGGAAATTCACATTAATCATTATTAATGTCCTATTTATTTCAACAGGCCTTAGTCTGTCTCTAACCCAGTATCTATAATGTGTTTGAAGATACTCCTAAATTTATAACATTTTCTGTCTTGACATGAACAAGTGGTCTGGAGAGCATTTTTACATGGATTCTCTCCTCCCTTCTCTCCTTACCTACCCCTACCCATGAACAATCACTTTTTCCCAGGTTGGAAAGAATTTAATGCCAGAAGAAACTGTTTTATTAACTGGATTTGAACAGAGATTCTTGAAGTGGACCAAGTAGATTATTTCATGCATGATCATGGAGCCATGGTTCAAATAATGAGCTGTGGCTCAAATGAAAGTGATGCATAATACAGTGTCTGAAGATGCCAATGCATCATTATTGTTTTTACAAATTAGGAAATGATAGGAATGCATTTCCCATCCTTCAAACGATATTGATTTTACCTGAACTATATAGCTTGAAAAAGTTTAGCGTTGTACTAAGTTTAAGAAAACAACACTAAAATAACTTTTTGTTTTAATGGTTAAATTTATGGTACACCCAAAGCCATCTGAAACTAGTAGGAGAGCTGCAATAAATCCAGAACCTAGCTTTTAAGCATATCGCTCAAGCAGTCAAGTCTGTGCTGGCAGCTTTCCAGGTACATGTGTGTTTTGTGTGTGTGTGTGTAAAATGCTCATGACTGAATTATACCTGCTATCCATAGGCATACTTTTGGCCTCTACAGTAGATGTGGCATCTCATACCAGAGGAAAGAGAGAGTGGCCAGGTTCACACATCTGAAAAAGCCATGTTTTTTACCCTTGTTGATCTGTCATGTCATCTGAACCCAGCTGTGGAATTCCAGCACATTACATTCAGTTTCTGTAAATCTCAGATATAAGTAACTGTTTGCTGTATGTTCCCATGCTTCGCCACAGCTGTCAGGACCCTGAAACACTATTTCTCAATTGGTGGTGAAAATATGCCATAGTGCCATGAAAAGACTGGCAACAGAAGGCACCACTCCAGCCATCAGTTCTATACTACCCACAGCCTCCCAGCAAAACACATACCCACTCTTACTTCATTTCTTTTGGTTGAGCACCATGCCCATCGCACTGTTTACTTCCTGTAACAGAAAGTGAGTAAATGTACGAAGAGAGAAAAGGGGAATTGCAACATGAGTGTTAATTTTAATGTAACCCTCCCCCCACCCACTTTTGGTTAAGGAGCATGAAGGTGATGGACTGAAAGAGGGAGAGCCTGCCTCGAAACCTTAGTGGACCAGTCAGGAAGCAGCAGCCGAGGTCAATAAAGAACAATGCAGTAAGGAAAGGAATTTTGCTAGTGTGGATGGGTGGAATGCATGGTGGGCATGGAAGGACATAGGAAGAAGCATGGAAACCAAGTTTACAAGGAGGCTACATTACTCTGAGTGGTAGATTGAAGCAAAACAATAAAAGCTGTAGAAACCATGTCTGGCGAAGCTCTGTGGGTGTATATGTGTTTACGAGAGCAAAAGAGGAAAACTCCCTCTTCACCCAAGTTAAAATCAGTGAATTCATGATGTAAATAGTAAGTGTAAACAGTAAAAACTAGTCAACTGGTGTCAGAGATATTTCCATCTAGTTTGCTAATTACAAAGCGATGTTGGGGCATCTCGATAGCAGCTGCAAGAATGAATGAACAGATTTGGTAGGGAATCCTTGCACCTTGAACCTCAGCAGTTTATTGAAAGATGACCCAGGCAGAGAACCCTGCTTACAACAGCACTGTTGAGTAGAGGTTATGATCAGCTACAAGCTTTTAGAATATATACAGAGTGTTTTCTAGGTTCTGAGTCATGTATGCACAGAAGCAGGGCAGATGATGATGAAATAAGGGGAATACAGTCAAAAGAAAGTGAGAGATCTGCAGAGGTGGCTTAATAGAATAGCGTTGATTACAGGAGACTGACATAACAATTCAGGAAGGCAGGGATTATTGCCTTACCTGTGAGTTTGAACATGCAGATTAGGGTGATTGCTAAACTAGAAAACTAGCCTGGCAGCCTTATCGGCTGTTGCTGCTATTAGTGAAAAAATAGACAGGGATCAACTTCCCTTGGAGCCTCCCTTCAGCAAGCACCTTTGCAAAATGCAGCAGCATCTCAGGGGAGTGGAGAATTCCAGTCTCTTAAAGTAACAACGCTAAACAGAAGCCTGGTTTGGAATTCTGGTACTTTCTGAGAACGAGAAACAGGGATAATGCAGGTTTGATTTTAGAACAGAAAGGCAACCCTTTTCTAACAAGATTTATCTGAATTTTCCCAACAATGTCAAATAATTTCTTTCTGAAATGTGTAAACGCCCAAATATTTAAAAACTGTTATTGGCACACTATGTGCACTGAATTGGCTTCAGATTTAAGTATATACAGTTGGACTGGTGGAAATGGACTTCTCCACCCTATCTCCACAGCAGCCTCTCCAGCCCTCTAAAATGGGATATCCGAAACTGGGCAGAGTCCTTCTTTCATCAACAGAGGACAGATCTTGGATCCACACTATTATTTTGCAACAGTAACCCTAGAAAATTTTAAAAACATGAGGGTTCAGTTATCAATTTATACTGAACATAAAGTGTGATACTGATACATTAAATTTCACCAGTGGAAGGCTTTCTCTCTTGAAGCTGAAAGTAAAGATTTAAATGAAGTAGAGATGATATTCTTGATTTGCATGAACTAATATGTTATTACTGATTAATAATAGGGAAACACATTAACTTTATTTGTATAGTATATATTGTTGATAAAAATCACCTTCAAAATACTATTAGACATAAACATATTTGCGTTTTAGGCTCTCCAAATCAACATCTCCGAAGATGAAATTAATGCTTTCTACAGCATGATCTGCATTAGATGATCCATGAACAGCATTGCGCAAAATATCTTTTGCAAATTTGGCACGCAATGAATCAGGGTGAGTTTCTTTTGCTTTAACTGGATCTGTTGGTCCCATCAGCTTCCGCCATTCCTCCACAGCATTTTCTTTGGTTAGAACCATCACCACTGATGGACCACTAGCAAACCAAAATGCAATGATTTAGAAATGCTAGCAATATTTTTCTGTAGCAATGTGGACACATTTTTTTGGGTTGATATTACTAGAAAGACAAGCAGAGCAAGCCCATTTGGGTCTGCTGCCCAGGGTAATAGTGTATCACAATTCATCAGAAGCAAGTAATTATCCTAACATATAGGCTCCATAGTAGAAAATTTATACATGGTACATTGATGAGTGTTCTCAGTTACTCCCACCATTCATGACTTTCTGTAGCCACACGAGCAACAAGTGTATTTTTACATTCTTGTCCTGGGGTTCTGTAGCCAATTTCTGTACCCATGACAGGGTCAGTCATTTCGGTTTGGATGACACAACAATTCATTACAGGTACAACAACTCTTTCAACAGTCCATGGATTGTTGGGGTGGCTTGTTGACTATGCATATACTGCCTTGGACAAATTGGTTTATTTTTGAATTTATATGCCACCTACTAATCCAGATGGATTCTTTAGGTGACTTACAGTAAAATATTAAAAACAACAATAAAACCAATTAAAATCACAATATAAAATTAACCCTAATAATACCAAGTAAGTAGAACAACTATGAAAAATAAATAACAATTTAAGACTGTTGTTTAAAGTATTCAGAGAAAAGCAACATCATCCCCTGGCACCAAATTGAAAACAAAGCTAGTGCCAGGCTAATTCTTTGGATAGCCTGTTCCATAGTTGAGGGGCAGTCCCTGAGAAGGCCCTTCTTCTTTTTACTGTGCCCTATATCTTCTTAAGGGATGACCCTTTTAGAAGGACCTCCTGCCCAAATTTTAATGTGTGGATATGTATATATGGAAGTGAACGGTCCTTTACGTAACCAGGTTCTAAGTCTGAGTTTGGGTACATATATTACAACCTATTGCAGGTTAAATGCAGATTGCCACTGCACCATGGATTCTTGCATCATGGACTATGTTGTTGTCTGATCCAAGCAATGCTAACAAAACATGGTTTGTTAACTATAAACAACCCATGAAGATCAGCCATGGTTTGTTGTTGGATTGTGAACTGTGTGTTGTTCTTGGTTAACAAATCATGGTTTGTTAGCATGGCTTGGTTCAAACAACTCTGTAATTTAAGTTTCAGCAACAACCCATGGTTCAATGACAACTCACATTCAATCTGTGAACATGAGTTATTGTGGTGTCTGAATCCAGTCCAATGTCTTTTTTAGATCAGAAGCCTGAGGACAGATTCTTAAAGCTTTCTGGTAGTCTTTTGACTGAAGAGCAGGATAGAAATGCTTTGAATGACTTAAGAAATTATTATTCACAACGCTCCATGCCACCATGAAGGAATTGCTAGGCTACTACTCCATCCTCTCAGCCTAACCTACCTCCCAGAGTTGTTATTGAGATAATAGGATTGAGAGGAGGAAGAGAAATATGTAAGCCACCTTGAGTTCCTTGGAAGAAAAAAGGCAGGACATAAATATAATAAATGTAAACAAACAAAAAAGATGATGGGTTGATATGGGACTGTTCTTTGATTTTAGGCTGGATGGGGCTATGAATCTGCAATATGCCTCTGAATATCAGTTGCTGGGGAATATGAACAGAAGGGCACTGTTGCATTCATGTCCTTCTTTTGGACTTCTCAAAGATACCTGGGGGGCCACTGTTGAAACAGAATGCTGGATAAGACAGGGTTTTCGTGACATGGCTCCTCTTATGTTCTTACTTTTTTATCTCCCTGAAGAGCAGAAACTTTCTGACATCCCCATAAAAGTAATGGATGCTCTTTGTCACTCATTGTGTTTCAAAGTTATACCTGATATATTCAGGTATCCATTACAAAAAATCAGGACTTACTTAGACATATAAGAAACAAGATCATCAAAAAATGGCTTTCCTTCATGCCCTTTATAAAACTGTGCTGCCATCTCTGGAGTTATCTGTGTTTCTTTCATTTCTGATATAATAAATCCAGCATCTTTTACTTCTTTTAAAATTTCATCTAGAAGGATAAAATAGATACAAGCATGTTTTATTTCATTGGTGTATGTAACTTAAAACATTAAATGATCTTAAACTGTTAAAAATTCAAATGGGAGTAAGATATTTATTTTCACACCTATTTGAAATCTAATTTATTTGGATATCAACTTTTCTTCCTTTCTCACACCCCTCCTCCCTTTCTTTTCTTTCAGTAGCCTCTTGTATTCCCTGGAAATCTGTCCCTGTGGTTAGAAAGTTCCTTGGAAATGCTGTAATATACAGTGGATTTTAGATTTCATACCACCCAAAGGTTTCTCTCTTTGTTTTTAACCGAGTCTGTTATAGTAAACACTCTGAGTCTAGAAGGGACTGAGAAATTTTTAATACATATGAGACAGGGAGAAAGAACAGGAACAAATTGCTAAGGGAAGGGAAGGGAAGGGAGAGGGGAAGGGGAAGGGAAAAGGAAGCAGTCCTTCCTTCTAATATACCAATGATATATCATAAGATCATTGAAAGAGCAAAACTAATTTTCAGGCACCGTTTATTAAGTTGATTAAAAGGGGAGGAACTGATCAGTGGCATGGGGGACATGACTCTCCCACAAGTACTGTTTGTTCTTCATATTCTTTTTAGCTTGAAGAGAAATTAAGGGAGGTCCTGCTAATATATCCCCAGACAATAAAGGCCAAGCAGCTAAGGACTGTGAGATGAGCTTGCTTGCTTTCCTTTGCGGGGACTGAACTCTGAGGCAGTGCGCTCTAGTACTGTATGATTCTATGAAATGGAAGCTTATGTTTAGTCACTTTTGGAAGTTAGGGGACCTTATGCTCACCTGAGTTTGGGGTGTTCCACAGTTTTGTGGCAACTGTATAGACTAATAACAAACACAATGCAAGTGTAGATCCAAATAGGCACGTGTACTTACAAGAGGGTGGCATCAATAGGCTCAGAGAAAAAAAGAGTTTGTGGAAGCATGAAAAATCTTTAGAGAGAAACCCTAAGGTTGTGCGAGATGTCCCCCAAACAGCCCAAAAAAGTCTGAGCATGCTCAGTGGCACAGAATGCTGACTGACTGTTTAGGGTGAGAGAACTAGAAAAACTGGGGGAAGGTAGAATTGAATATCCTTGAAAAAGGAATGATGGGCTAACTGAGAAATTGAACAGAAATACATACAGCAACCTTTTGTTACTAGTTGCAGTTGTCGTATGTACTTAACAATGCATAAGCTGCATTCTCAGCCAATAACAACACATTAGTATTAAGAAGCATCAGAATTATAAGTTTCACATTGCCATTCCCACGGCAATGAAATCGACTGGCCTTCTTTAAGACAGCAAAATACATGCTGTCTAACCTTTATCAACCATTGTTAACCCCCAGCAGTAATTAATATTCTGTTATTTTAAAACAGCAGTTACCAATTTCAAAGCTTCACACTTTTGTCTCAAGCACAGTGTCCATTGATTATTGAATACATAGTTAGAGTGTCAAATATTGATTTTCTGCCATATTGTTTCACTGCAGTTGTACTTTTTTAAGTCAGCAGGTTGGATCCAGATTCTGCCTTCCACAAGTGGAAATCTCAGCTCACAGAGGGTCCCTTTGACCAATTTGGGGGATATCTCTTCCCTTACCCACCTCCCCTCAAAGCTCAATCCATACAGCAGGATCTCCTGACTCAGTGACTAGGTTCAAATAGTATAACACACACTCAAGGGTTGAGTGAACCATGGTTTGTTGTTACAATGTGGGAATCATGTTTTCTCAACCCAATTGTGCTAACTAGCCAGTGTTTTTAACCTCAGACAACTGATGAAGAGAACCCATGTTTGGTGGGTTGTTCCCCATGGTTTGTTATCTCTGTAACCCACACTCAACTCATACTCCATTCTTGACTGCAGTTTCCCATATTGCCTGAACACAGTCTCTATGCTATACTTTCAGTAGGCTGACCTGGAGGGGCTGCTTGGGGAAGGAGAAGGACAGGAAGTCCATTTCCATCCGTTCAGTTTGTACAGCATAGATCTGGATCCAACCCAGCAACACAGTCATAACCATTCATTTTAAATTGAAGAACCAACATATTTGAAGAAGAAAAACATTTTATACACTGGGCATACCCTCATATATTCCCCAAACATTTAGAGGGGGTGGGATCTCACTGACTGTCCCCTAAATACAGCCATACCCATTGACCATATCCCACAGCAGGCACGTGTTTCGCCTGAAGAAGAATGAGTCCTGTGCATGCATAGGGCTCCTCTCATTAACACAGTACAGGTAATCACAGGAACAATTTGACCAGCATGCTCATCAGGTTTAGAAGTGGCACAAGCAGATGCAATCCCACTTCCTTCCTGATATGTTCAATGCAGATGTGGGAAAGGTTGTGGATATAATATTCAGATTGTCTACCTTTATGTTCCTCAAGTGCAGATGGCTTAATGACAGCCAAAGTATTTTCCACCGGAAAGAAGAATTCTAATTCTTTTGCAGCTTCATCAGCTGTTGAGCTACCATGCAGCTGATTGATTGATGCACTGCCAATTGCAAACTCGGCTCGTAAACTAGGGAAAATAAAATCAGTACATTAAATAGTTCATGCAGAAGGTTTGTTTCCAAGTTCTATAGGTGTGTGCAGTGCCCTTGCAGCATCAACGGCAGTGCTAAATTGCCTAATTCTGCAGCTGAAGTGAGGAGAGAAAATAGCACAGACTCTGGATGAACAAATCATTTTCTCTTGAGAGAAGTTTCAGCCAAAAGCAACTTCAGGCCATTGGACTTCACCCAAAGTTAAATCAGAGGAATCTGTTACAGGTCTTGCTCATTTGTATGAATTCAGAATAAATTTAAAGCATTTCAGTCAAATTCACAACATTTCTCATTGGTGGGGGAAGGTTTCATACTCTCCTAAATGTGCTACCAGATTTCCCATTAATCAAAACACAGTATAAGTTGGAGACTCCTGCTCAGATGAAAGAAAAAGTAGTCCTATACATTCTCATTCAGAAATGGAAGCTTATCTTCAGCAATTTAGAGTATTGCCAGTTTGAAATATTACAGTACAGGATTTTTATAACTCCATGTTCATTAAGTATTGCATATTATATACCAAATAAAAGAATAATATATCACCATATTGAATTCTTCCCTGTATACTTATGTAGGGGGGTCAATTTAATTCTTGAGAAAATGTCAATGCAATACCACCAAATACCTCTGCTGTAGCTGATGCCAGTACGTGTGTCTCTCCAGTAAACAAATGGTTTGCTACAAGTACACTTGCAAAGCAGGCATGGAACTCCTATAACTTCCTGCAACATGCTGAACAAATACTTATTACTGTCCAGACGATGGCACTGTTGTATGAGTTAACATGTCAAAACCTTATATGTTAGTGTAAACACAGCCATCTGCATTAATGTTGGTGACATTTATTCAGGGAGGACAATTATTTCAAAAGTTACCAAGTTGGGCATTGTTCCTTTGCTTCCTCAACTGTCTTTGGGCCCAGTAAACCTCTCCATTTTTGTATGGCATTTTCTCGTACCAAAGCCAGTGCAAGGGTTGGCCCACTGTTGAATGCAAGAAGAAAAAGAGAGAGAGAAAATAAGATTTTTAAAGAAATCATACTTTTACAACCTTTAAAATATCTTTAGTCTGTGATAAGGCTATTAACACAAATTCAGTATAACCTGCATAGAATTTATTCATTCTAGTTTTAAGCACACATTATTCATTAAAAAAGCTGAAGTCAGGGTTTTCAACAAAGTTAATAGATCAATAAATGACTACACAGAACTAAGGGAAAAAATGACTAGAAACACCACATCCCCAGTACAGTTGAATTTCAGACATAGTTAAAGCATTGGCAGTAGTGTTTAGCACACATCCATTGCATTTCTAGCACATGAACACTGCTTATGTGTAAAACAAAAATAGATAAGCGGAGCTTAGCTTTAAAAAAACCCCTTACAGACCCATTCAGAGAAATTTGCCACAGATTCAAGTAGGCAGCATTCTCACTTTGTCTGGAAATGATCTCAACTTTGTTCAGCTTTCACCCTAGAACTTAATGTAAACTGTCAATCTAACCTGGAGATCCATCATTGATGTCCATCCCATCACCAGAAAGGCTAAATTAAATTACAGATCCTCTCTGACTCCTGAGGTGAAACATAATGAAATTGAACAGTGGGCAACAGAATGATTCACTGTTCAGTTTCCTATCCCACTGGGGCACCTGTTGAGATATCAACTCTCAGGAAAAGTCTTGTGGGCACTGAATGCTCATCCCTGAATAGCAGCCTATGTACATGCATATGTGTAATACAAGTGCTTTTCTATTCCAATGAATTCTACACATTCCTGATTGATATCTGATTCTCATAATTTGAGGGAATTTCACTGTTATTGCTATATTGTGTAAATTTTTTGTATTTTTGTATTTAGTGGTAATTTATTATGTTCTATTGTATTTCAATGTATTTTATTGTGTTGTAAGCCGCCCCGAGGCTTCAGCAAGGGGCGGCATAGAAATGTTATAATAATAATAATAATAACAACAACAACAACAACAACAACAATAAATTAAACTAATCCCTTTATGTAAAACTGTTGCTTTTCCAGTAGTTTACCTGGTCATTTCTTCTAGAATAGCTGGGAAATAATCTTGATCTTCATGCTCCTTGTAAAATAGTCGTGCTTGCTCTTCTGATAGGTTGATTTCCTTTTGCATTGCTATTTCAAAGCCCTCCTCCTCAATCCTTTTCAGAATAGATTCTGCACGCAAAAGATAACAGCCTCCAGCTTTAACTCCACTGTGCTCTATGGATCCCTCATTCATGCCTGAGACACCTTGATTAAGGTACAGCAGATAGTGTCCATAGCTGGGATTGGTTATGCTGCTGATGGACTTTATGGTAGTTGTGCTCCCTTAGTTCATTGGCAATGGTCAATGGGTTCCAAGACCTGTTCCGAGAGCTGGAAGCTGGAGGAGAAAAGAGCTAAGGCACAGTCCTACGGTCCTCACTGCCCTCTCTGCTTCTCCAAGGATGCAACTGGACATCAGAGAGGGGGGAAGGGGGAAAGGCCTATGTTGGTGAGCAAGGTGGGGAAGAAGAAGCCTGTTCCAACAGCTTCTACAAGTTCCCATCTGTATCCTCCCCGGCAGTCATTTAGACAAAATACACGGAGCAAAGTACAGTGGTAACAGAAATTGCCACTGCCCTGCCTCACTTCATGCATTGGATGCACGGAAGCCTCCAAGCCAGCTGTGAAGGTGGGGTGAGGTGACTCTGATTTGAAGCCCCAGCTCTGCCCATGGAGCACTGGAGTCAGAACTGGGACTTCAAATGTTTCTAATGGCTTTCTAGACAGCATCTAGCGGCCACGGAATTGTGACCTCAGAATACTGCAAACATCACAAATATTTTAATTGTGCAGGTAGAAAAGGTAACAAACTTCACCAACCTCTTCTTTCCTGAAACAGGGCAGGTCTAATCAAGGCCAATGTTCTCTCAACAGCTGGGCCTTTCTTTGCCTTGGCAAAATCAGGGAAAAAGAAGGCAAGTTGCCTGCTTGCTTCTTCCACACTATCTTGAACATCACACAAATTTAAAATGGCCTGGCTTTCCAAAATCCCCTTCACACTAATAAAGAGGAAAATAGTGTTAATATTTTACAATGACCTATCAGGAATTCATTAATCTATAATACCTTGAAATGAAATATAGAGATTTTACTGTCAAACATTTGCTGGGACAGAGAGACATAATTCAATATATAATTTTAGAGATAGAAGATAGACTTTGTATTACAGGGAATACAGTTTTCATATGAGGGAAGAATGGAGGAGTCTTACTTAAATCCATTAATCTACCTGCAGACTCACCCCAGTTTTAGCAAAACAATTTCACTTCCACTGTAGATTTCTAAAAGGTAGGTCATGATAAAATTGAGGGGAGAAGGCCCTCCTCTGGCCTCTCTTAAATTCAAGCACTCAGTGAATTTTCAAACGTTACTGACTCAGATCCAGACTTAGGTAGTCATGCTTACTGTAGATACATTGAAGTCAGCCACAGCTAAGCCTCAAGGATTTTGATGGATCTACTCTTTGTATGATTAGATATGGACCCAACCCAGTGAATTCTGATTATTGGTGAGTCTTAACATTTTAGGAGGACAGTAGCAAATAGCAGAGAATGTTATTTATTTGTAAGTTAATGCCTTTGGGTAAATGTCCAAGATGCATCTACATTTCCATTATATACTGAAGTAAGGCAACCAAGCAGGGGTACTCCATTATGATGCTGTCAATCCTGCCATTTACAGGGAGATCTGAAGAAGTACAAAGTATTTTCTGTAAATAAACCAATTCCATTTTCATAGCCAAAATTTGTTTTTTTGTCTGACAGGAAAGACAACCACTGAATCCTTTACAAAGGTAAAATAAAATGTACTAACAAATGTCAATGGTTACCAGGACACAATGGAAAATGTACATCATTGTGATGAAATGACTAGCTTTTCAAATATTTTCACAAATTATGCTACATAACTATCACAGCATAAATTATGATTTTAATAACATTAAAAAGAATTCTCAGTTGTCCTAAGGCACGATCCTATGCAAATTTGGAAAAAAGGAAAGGTCTATAGCTAATTTGCTGAGGCATACTGGGAGTTGTGACTCTTTTCTCTAACCAAAATTGCATAAGACTTTCTTTAATATATATAGTACTCTAAGCTGTTTGTTTGAATCTGGCTACTTCCTATGCTTTCAGACTCCTGTGCTTGATCCAGGTTATTCTTCCTTATCCTACATTTTATTGTTTAAATTTCTAACAGTGCAATCAGCCCCACTGAGCTTAATGGGACTTACTTTCAGATGACTGGGTTTAAAATTGCAACCTTTTCACAAGTCAGTGGCAGTGGAGAAGCACATGGGAGACCAAAACCAATGGGACTGGTGTGAGGAAAATGTTGAAAGGGATTTTGTGTGAGAAGATGTTTAGAAAATCTTCTCCATGCCAAGGTATTGCTAGATGCTTGGTTCTGAATTAGCTTATCTTGTTCCTTAAATGCATGAATGTGTTAGTGAACTGCCATCCTGATGTTTGCATTTACCAGACTTTACTCAGACTGCTACGTGTCCTTGCCTGGTTGACCATGTTTGCAGTTTGCATTATTCTTCTTCCCTTCAGATTCAAATTCACTTTGAATTCCCTGCAGAACAGTGCGTCTAACATATGATCTCATCAAGACTTCTTTTTGAGATGATTTAATCAATGCACATATCTACTGGCATACATCAATAACCCGGAAGTTGGGTGGGGAAATCTCAGGCTTGGAGACCAAATCTAGCTTTGCTGGAATCCCAGTATGGTCCTCAGATTCCCTTCCTCTGGAATCATTTGGTGATCTCCCAGCATTTGTGCCATTTCCCTCTATTTGATGGGATTGAAATACTTCTCCTAAGGCTTACTTATTCCCAATAAGAGCTCTAAGCTAGACTGTGCCACTATGCTTTGCATAGTTTGCTTCACTTCCTTAGCTTTTGACCCTGTCTTGCCACTGGAAGCCTGCAACAACTTCTCTAAAGTGGGCTCCATTCCATGGGGTGAAAGGGATTTTCCACCTCCATTCTAAAGGGGGAAAAAAAAGATAGGCGTACATTGAAAACTGTAACTGCATGGGCCAATTCCAGATTTCATTTTAGAAATGCTCCAGGTTAAACCAGAAGACAGGTTAAATAGAATGTGAGACAGAGCAAACAGAAAGAATGATAACAGAAGTAAAATCCATTCATTCGCAGAGTAGCCTGAGATTTGTTGTAAATCTTGAAAGAATGGACTGGCCTTAGATCCTGCACTTGACATCCAAATCAGTGAACTGAATCCAGAATTTAGCTGAGTATAGATCTCATTGTGTGGGGCAAGTGAGTTAATTCAAGTCCCACTGATTTGAATAGGAACAGAGTGCAGTCAGCATGGGGTTAGAGCCTGGTATTGTTCTGTTTACAATAAACTCACTTAAATGAATGTAACTGAAATGGGTCGTTAGTAACTTAAGACCCACTGATTTCAACAGGCCTGCTCTAAGAATGACAAAGTCCGGATGCTAGCTATATTACTGTATATTAGATACTTGCAAAATATACTCTCTCACACACAATCTACCTAGTTGGCTTTTCAATTTTCAGAGGCTCTGCTTTCTCTGCTCCCAGCATATCTTGCTCCTCTGATTGCTGTTCCTCCTCTTCTTCCCCTTCTTCCAAATGTTCTACAAGAGGCATCACTTCATGCTTTCCTTCAGATACTATCAGAACATAGCATGGTCCAGATAGCATAAATGAAACAAAGTCTTCGAATTCAGGCTGAAATGGGGGAAACCCAGGGGAGTTTGTCATTACTTAACAAGAGAGAAATGATTAACCTAATTGTGCATTCATTCAGAGATAAAATTCTCCCCATTCTTATTAAGATACAGTGGCTAATGTATCTTCATTGGGTAACACACCATTACATTTGTTTATCTTCTGGTAATTGAATTTGAGTTAATTTGAGAAGATGGAATAAAAAAGTATTTCATTAGACAGTAGGGAGCATGTTCACAAAAGTTTATGCCACAGTATTTTCAATCTTTAAGGTGCTAAATAACTCTTTGATATTTTATATATATTGATCTGACTTCTATCTACTTTGTCCTTTGAGAGAGCAATCCTAAAAGTAAGAAGGCTGAACGATGGAGCAATCTGATGCCAGAGCCTCTGGTCTGCAAAAGGAACAACACAGGAGGTGTTCAACTCTTCTCTCAGAGGAGCATCTTTGTGACTTTAGAAAAAGGAAATCAATCTTACATTGCAAGCAATGGGAGGCAATTCATTTAGTCCAGCCCTGGAATTGGTCTAAATGTTCTCCCATGTTGAAGGTGTGGTTGTAGCTAGGGTGCAGCTAGGTAATTTTAGGCTCTGTTCTATGGGGACTTTGAATTGGTCCATGTGTAATCACTGACTATTGAGAGTTAGACTAACAGCAGCTTTTCCCTTCTGCAAGGCTGGAGGACTGTTCAAGATGGTCCGCCCCCAGAGACTAATAGATCTGGATAGTTTCCTGGGGGAAAGCTTGAGGAAAATTGCTCGCAAAAATTCACACATTGGGTAACATTGTGAACAAGAGTGCTTACATTAGGAGAAATGTGCAGAAAAACACATTCAATTCTATATGCAAACTTTTTTTAAAAAAAGAAGCTGATGCAGAAGCAGGAGAAACCAAATGTAAGGTTAGTGGAATAAGAAAATGAACAAAAATCAAAACAATCAGTTCACTAAAAGGTAGAAGTGGAGTGAGTGCTGTAGGACTGCTTCTAGATTGAAGATGGTAGTATGGAGAAAGGAACTGGATAGGGTCCAGAGGGAAGGGCCTCGAGAGGGAAAAAAACTGCACAGTACAAAATTTAGGCACTAGGCTGGTATATTTGAGGCTAGAAAAACAAAGAAAACAGCTTCAGGAAGGAAAAAGCATTGTTTCCTATGAACTGTAGGCACCCTGGTTTAGACAACTATCTTATGGTCTCATGGATGTATCCCGAGGGCTATAGGTTTGATCAGAAACCTTCCAAGAAACCTTTGACGAGGTTGCAGCCTTGGAAGCTGAAAATTGATCTCAAAACTTCTCTCTGGCCCTTTCCAGCAACTATAGAGGTTTCCATGATGGTTCCTTCTATAAAGCTGAGCTTCTTACTTTATAGAGTGGTGGTGTGGGAGAGGGTTTCAGGCTGTGGCAGCAGACAGGAAGGGTAAGGACACAGCCTTCCATCATAGTGGCTCTGCATGTACATTAGATGTATTGCCTCAAGAGCAAAAATTATTTAGGCCAGCATTGCTCATATGTGTATTGCCAATTAACATAGATCTTTTAGGTATGACCAGGGCTTTTTTGGTCATAGAACGCACCGGAATGGCGTTCCGGCACCTTTTTTTGACAGATTTTTCCATGTGATTGTGAATCGCCCTGACGGGTGTAGCAGGTCGACCGCAAAAAGCATTAAAATAGTGCCTGTGGACTGCGTGTGTGTCCGCGCTGCTTGTGAGGGCGCTGCTTGGCTAGGGACACTGCTCAGCTTGGGATCGGTCATGGGTCATGTGGTCCCGCGCTGAGTGCTTACTGCCTGCGGGGACCATTATGTGTATCAGTGCTTTTTTTGTAAACATGCCCCCCCCCCAGCCCCGTAGTAAGCACACACACCAATCCCAAGCATCTGGAGCAGCTATCTCTCACTATCAGATAGCAGACACAATAGCAGCCTGCAGGCACTATGTTAATGAGTGCTGCTGATCTGCTAAGCCAAAATCACTTCCTAAAATCCATTGAAAAAAAGGTGCCGGAACACCGTTCCTGTGCGTTCTATGACAAAAAAAGCCCTGATGTTTATGTGTGTGTAGAGTGACTGGCTACGTGCAAAAGGTAAATAAGTTCTTTATTTCAAAAATGTTGGTGAATTGAAAATCTTTTTTCGTGTAAAAGTGTGACCCCAAGAAGTGAGTTCCGGCACCATTTTTTTTTTTTTACAAAAAAAGCACTGGATATGACCAACAGGTATAGTCCTTCCTCCCCTCTCTTCACCCTGCCATCAAGCTGTCCTTGTTACCTCTTCTGATTTTTGTTGATAAAAATCCCTCACTTGCTCATCAGTTAATGCCTTCTCCTCTTCCGCAAGTATAACAAAGCCTGCATTGGTGATCTTCAGTGTTATATTAGCCATCAGGTTTAAGCATATTTTAAAAGTAAAAATAAACAATGGGTTGTATTAGGTCATGTTTAACCTGTCAACCAATTAATGACTATTTCATTAATGAATTGTATAAATGAATGAATCAATAAAAATGAATGAAATCCACATTACAAAAACCTTCATGTGCATACCCTTTTAAATAAAAAGGCAGTGTAATGTAATTTGCAACATAATAAGCCAGTGCTACCAATCTTTCTTAGAATGAAGAGACAGCCTTGATAATTTTTTTCCATTCCACTACTGCAGGGCAGAGTGCATATTAAAATGCCTGACCTCCCCTCCACCCCCAACCATTGTTAGAAGATGCGTGACAATTAATAGGATTGAGCTGAGAGACTCTCAGTCTAATTTGGCATAAAAGTGTTTGATAGATCCTCAGACATTATGCAGTAGTGCTCACTGCAGTGACATTCTGCCAAGGAAAGCTCATGGTTCTATTCATTGTGAAATGAATTATTGGCTTAAAAAATGGGGGTTGGCATTCAAGCATCAAGGCTTTGAGCTGGTTAGGAAAGCATTGTTATCTACAGTTGTTACTGGCAAGTGATGCTGAAGTCAGGACAGTAAGGCCCAATACTAGAGGTGGTAGTGTGATGAAGAAGTATGTCTTGATGTTGCTGCAATGTGCACTGGTACTACAGCAGACAGTTCTGTGAGTTTTGTTTGGAGTGGTGTCTGAAATATAAAAGAGCCACTATCCTTTATAGTGTATTTATAAGAGCCTCTTACAGATTTATAAGCCTCTATTTGGACCATTGCGTTAAACAGCTTAAGTTCTGGATGTGTATCAATGAAGAAAGGGAAAAGATAAGCCAACAAGTTCCAACTTTGTAAGATTCTAAGGCAGCAGTGTTGAAAGCCTTCCAGTCTGAGGGCTGAGTTCTGATTCATAGATGACCTCTTACTGCTCTTACTGCTGTAACTAAGGGCTAAGAGAAGCATTTCAATCTTCTGGAATGGAAAAATCAGCACAAAGGTGAGAGAAGCACCAAATTATTGGGGAGGAAGGGCTGGGGTCATACAAAGGTGTCAGGGTCATTTGGAGACTCCTGGAGAGCCACCTTGGAACTTCAGATGGGATGAATGTAGCATGTGGGCCTGAGTTCTTCACCCCTGCTCCAAGGGGAACTCTGGAGCGACATCAGAAATAAAGGGGGTTCTTACAGGGATAAATCAAATATCATGACATAAAAACAGGTTGTCTTTAATGCAGTAGGTCTGCATGACCCACTAAGAAGGATACCGCCCATCTCCCATGTATGACAATTCACAAAAAACTCAGTGACTGGGTTCACATGATACAGCTACCCATCATAGGTTGCTACTCATGACAGGTTGTGGTGTCATGCAAACCCAGACCAATATTCCTAGTGTGGCTTGCATATGGGCAACAGACCACCCCAACTAATCATGTAAGAGCAGCTTGTTGTAGGGGTTCTGGCACCCACATTGGGTTGTCATCCTGTCTGAATCTGGATGACAAAAGGCATCAAGCTGATGGGCAATTAGCTAACAAGCCCAATGACAAAAGCAGCACCTCCCCTTGCTGCTTTTGCTATGGGGCTACTGGGCAAGTCCCAATGCCAGCCACCCCCAAATACCTCAGCAACACTTAGGTGAAGCTGACATTACCTCCCCCTGCCCCCAATTCCAGCCACTGTGAACCATTTCATATTCCCCGTGGCTTTCCCACTATTTTTGTGGGAAGAAAGTGCTGTTTTGATAGCTACAAGCCATCCCTTCAAAGTGCCCCAGCTACCCGTCAAAATGCTGGGTCCCTCTACAAAGGGGGATTTGAGTGAGGAATGGGCGGCTTTGGACTGAAAGCAAATGGCTGTCTATGGGCTTGCAAGAGTCTGAAGTGGTCACAAACAACTCATGGCTGATAGTATATGTTCAGCCTGAAGGGCCACAAGTTCTGCAGATCTGGCTAAGCAAAATCTGTTCTCCTAATGCTCACAACAAGATGTGTTTACTCTTTTTAAAAAAGTGTTTTTTACCATTTGTTTAATTTCTTCAACTTTTCCTTCAGCAACTGCATCAGGTTTTATAATGACAACGGTGTATTTTTCCTCCTCTAAAAAAACAGCAGTATGCATAACTTTTATTACATACACTTATGAACAGACCTTAGCACATAGCAGTAATGTGAAGAGAATGAGGGGGAACATGGGGTATGGAGGTTGTTATACGTCTTGTGTCATCCACTGCATAATTGGGAAGAAGGCTTGGGGTTCCTTTATTCTTAAACAATTCTGAACAAAATTCTAGGCAACAATAAATGCTCCTCAAACAAAACAACCGCTCAGCCTCCCACTCCCTCTAACATTTGCTGCCCAAGGCAGTGGACTCATTCTACCTAATGAGAAACACGTCTAAGTGGGAAAAATGCACTTAATTATTCTTCATTGGAACCCTTGTTCCTGTGTGCTGCTGTAAATACTGAACGCAAACTTTTCAAACAGTCTTTTTGGTTTATACACAACCATACCATTTTGCTTTCTAGCTAAATAGCTTGCTAAATAACAAACAGTAATACTTGCCTTCAGCTTCTTCTTCTTCAAGTTCTTCATCTGATTCTTTCTCTTCTATGATCACAAGCTCTTGCATCTGAAGAACCCCTCCCCCCACACACATACATTTATTAGCAAGTGCTGATATTATAATCTATTAGGAAGAAGTCTGCATGATAATTACTACTTCGTTTCTTCATCAAAATCAAGCTGTGTTAATTCAGATACACACTCTACAAGGGTGAAATGAAACATTTTTTCAAATGTTTTTAAATGTTTAATAGGATGTGAAGGTATTTAGATTATTAGAAAGGTGCTGATTAATTATGAACTTAGCCTCCTATTTTAGGCCCAACTAAGGTATGTAATGCAAGCTAATTGTTTAGGTCACAGTTAATTTGGGTATCTCCTTCATGGATCACTGCTTTGTCGTGGCAAAGCGGCTTGCGTAGCTCAATGAAGCTATGAGCTATGCTGTACAGGGCCACCCAAGACGGACAGGTCATAGCAGAGAGCTCTGACAAAATGTGATCCACCGGAGAAGGAAATGGCAACCCACTCCAATATCTTTGCCATGAAAACCCCATGGGCAGTACCAAAAGGCAAAAAGATATGATGCCAGAAGATGAGCCCCTCAGGTTGGAAGGTGTCCAATATGCTACTGGGGAAGAGTGGAGGGCTGGTACTACTAGCGCCAGAAAGGATGAAGCAACTGGGTCAAAGCCAAAAGGACGCTCAGTTGCAGATGTATCTGGTAGTGAAGGGAAACTCTGATGCAGCATCATAGGAACTTGGAATGTAAGATCCATGAATCAAGGTAAGCTGGATGTGGTCAAACAAGAGTTGACGAGGCTGAACATCGACATCTTAGGAATCAGTGAACTAAAATGGACAGGAATGGGTGAATATAATTCAGATGACCATCATGCATACTACTGCGGGCAAGAATCCCTCAGAAGAAATGGAGTAGCATAGTCAATAAAAGAGTAGGAAAAGCAGCACTGGGGTACAGTCTCCAAAATGACAGAATGTTCTCAGTTCGAATCCAAGGCAAACCATTCACCATCACAATAGTCCAAGTCTATGCCCCAACCGCTGGTGCTGAAGAGGCTGAAGCTGACCGGTTCTGTGAAGGCCTACAACACCTTCTAGAATTAACACCAAAAAATGATGCCCTTATCATCATGGGGGATTGGAATGCTAAAGTAGGAAGCCAAAAGATAACTGGAATAACAGGCAAGTTTGGCCTTGGAGTACAAAATGAAGCAGGGCACAGGCTGGTAGAATTTTGTCAAAAGAACACGCTGGTCATATCAAACAGTCTTTTCCAACAATGCAAGAGACAACTCTACACATGGACATCACCATATGGTCAACACAGAAATCAGATTGACTATGTGCTCTGCAGCCAAAGATGGAGAAGCTCAATACAGTCAGTAAAAACTAGACCAGGAGCCAACTGTGGCTCAGATCATGAGCTTCTCATTGCAAAATTTAGGCTTAAATTGAAGAAAGTAGGGAAAAGCACTAGGCTACTCAGGTATGACCTAAATCATCTCCCTGATTAATATACAGTAGAACTATGGACAGAGGTCGCAACATTGTACAAGAGGCAGCAACTAAAACCATCCCAAAGAAAAAGAAATGCAAGAAAGCAAAATGGCTGTCTGAGGAAGCTTTACACATAGCTGAGGAAAGAAGGGAAGTGAAAGGCAAGGGAGAAAGAGAAAAATATTCCCAATTGAATGCAGAATTCCAGAGAATAGCCAGAAGAGATAAGAATGCCTTCTTAAATGAACAGTGCAAAGAAATAGAAGAAAACAATAGAATAGGGAGGACCAGAGATCTCTTCAAGAAAATTGGAGATATGAAGGGAATGTTTCATGCAAAGATGGGCATGATAAAGGACCAAAATGGCAGGGACTTAACAGAGGCAGAAGAGATTAAGAAGAGGTGGCAAGATTACACAGAAGAATTATACAAGAAAGAGCTTAACGTCCCTGATAACCACGATGGGGTGGTCACTGACCTTGAGCCAGACATCCTGGAATGTGAAGTCAAATGGTCAAGTCAGAGCAACAACAAAGCTAGTGGAGGCGACAGTATTCCAGCTGAGCTATACAAAGTCTTAAAAGACGATGCAGTAAAAGTGCTACACTCAATATGCCAGCAAATTTGGAAAACTCCACAGTGGCCACAGGATTGGAAAAGGTCAGTTTACACTCCGATCCCAAAGAAGGGCAATGCCAAAGAATGTTCAAACTACCACAAAATTGCAGTCATTTCACATGCTAGCAAAGTTACGCTCAAAATCTTATAAGCTAGGCTCCAGCAGTATGTGGACCGAGAACTACCAGAAGTTCAGGCAGGATTTCGAAGTGGGAGAGGAACTAGAGATCAAATTGCCAACATGGAGAAAACTAGGGAGTTCCAGAAAAACATCTACTTCTGCTTCATTGACTATGCTAAAACCTTTGATTGTGTGGATCACAACAAATTGTGGCAAGTTCTTAAAGAGATGGGAGTACCAGACGATCTTATTTGCCTCTTGAGAAACCTTTATGTGGGTCAAGAAGCAACAGTGAGAACTGGACACGGAATCACTGATTAGTTCAAATTGAGAAAGGAGTTCGGCAAGGCTGTATACTGTCACCCTGCCTATTTAACTTATATGCAGAGCACATCATGAGAAAGGCGGGGCTAGATGAATCACCAGTTGGAATTAAGATTGCTGGGAGAAATATCAACAACCTCAGATATGCAGATGATGTCACTCTATTGGCAGGAAGTGAAGAGGAACTAAAGAGCCTCTTGATGCGGGTGAAGGAGGAGAGCACAAAAGTTGGCTTGAAACTCAACATTAAGAAAACTAAGATCATGGCATCCAGTCCTATCACTTCCTGGCAAATAGATGGGGAAGAAATGGAGGTAGTGACAGATTTTATTTTCCTGGGCTCCAAGATCACTGTAGACGGGGACTGCAGCCAAGAAATTAAAAGACGCTTGCTCCTGGGGAGGAAAGCTATGGCAAATCTAGACAGCATATTAAAAGGCAGAGACATCACTTTGCCGACAAAAGTGCGTATAGTCAAGGCTATGGTTTTCCCAGTTGCAATGTATGGCTGTGAAAGCTGGACCATAAGGAAGGCTGAGCGCCGAAGAATTGAGGCCTTTGAATTGTGGTGCTGGAGGAGACTCCTGCGAGCCCCTTGGACTGCAAGACAATCAAACCAGTCAGTCCTAGAGGAGATCAACCTTGACTGTTCTCTAGAAGGCCAGATACTGAAGATGAAACTCAAATACTTTGGCCACCTAATGAGAAGGAAGGATGCCCCGGAGAAGAGCCTAATGTTGGGAACAATAGATGGCAAAAGAAGAAGGGGATGGCAGAGGATGAGGTGGCTAGATGGAGTCACTGAAGCAGTTGGTGTGAGCTTAAGTGGACTCCGGGGGATGGTAGAGGACAGGAAGACCTGGAGGAATGTTGTCCATGGGGTCGTGATGGGTAGGACATGACTTCGCGACAACAACAGCAACAAATTTGGGTATTCTCCCTTAAGTTCTGTGAACAGGGTTTCCAACTGAACTTTGGCTATATCTGTCTGTGTGAACCACATTTTCAAAGTAAGTTGTGATGGATGAATGCCCTTATTGATGAGGGTGGGGTGAGGTGAGGGAGTATTTTTAAGGATTTCATTAGTGGCATATTAATACTACTAATAATAAATATAGCATTAATATAAAAAGCATGTAGTTCAGACATAGAAGGATAGGCAGCTATTTCAAACAAGTGGAAACAGGAATGCATGCAAAGGAAGGCAAAATCCTATGAGCCCTAAAACAAAATATGACATGTAAGGAAAAGCAAGCAAGCACATATTTTGCTAAAAATACTTATGCCAAGACCTGGCTGTGTTACCTCTGGTCTTGCTACTTCTCCTGCTATGATTTTTCTCTCTTGTTCTATCATGTGTATAATTTTTCTGCATAGAAGAGGTCCATTTGCACCTTTTACGAGATCTATCATCTTGCCATTCTGTAAACAAATATTGACAAAATTAACCTCTATGCTCCAGAAGATAACATAGTTTTGTTTTGTAAGTTCACCTGGCTCCTAGCTACATAACTTTTTCTGACTGAAATGTTTTGTTATATTCACTTGTACATTATTAGCATCTAATAGTCTGTATTTCACAGGTTCAAGAGAAACTTTTCATAATGTTTGACAGAAAAGACAGAATATTGATCTAGAACTAGGATCACCTAATATCTCAAACTATCACATAGAGTTGGATCAAAATGAAGGCAGCAGTCTTATGTACACTTACATGGGGAAAAGCCCCACTGAACTAAGTAGGATTAACTTCCAAGGAGAAAATACCTCTGCTTTTGTCCCTTTCAAATTTAATAATATTCACCTTTTCATTGCAAAATGATGCCCAAGACAGATTTTTACAATGTGGTAGTGATGCCTTGTCCCATTGATTTCAATGGGAACTAAATTCAGTCCTATTGCAATCAGGGCATTAAGGATAAGCATTGTTGGACACCCATCAAGAGTGCATTTCCCAGCAAAGGCCCACTGATAGGAAGCCCCTCAAGTTGCTCCTTTTCCTTACTACTGTTTACCTTCCTCTCAGTCTGGCCTCTGCCTACTTGCTTACTGGCTTTCTGCCCATCAGGCAAATAGGCAGCAATGATGATGGACATTCGCAGCTTGTAACGATGATGGTGGTAGGAAGACTCACTGAGGGAAGAGGCCCACTGCGAATGCTTTCTCCACGGGGTTTCATGCCCTCAAAAAACCCCTGGAGCCAGCACTAGGTCCAATCCACAAATTTAATTTATTAACATTTAAGTTTGCATGTGCAAAGAAGAGTGAAGTGCATGGCTGGGGAAACAGTGGGGTTGGTAGAGGAGACTCAAGGCTCTGGACAAGGAAACTAATAAACTCAGAAGCAGCCATGATTATCATGTTGACTGGGTTCACATGACATGCCAACCTAACATGGCTTATAACATGCCATGTAAAGCTGGGACAGGTTTCTCAGGGTGGCTTCTTTGGGGATTATAAGCCAACATGCCTAGCCATGGCTTATAGTAGGATCTGCTTGCCCCACAATAGGTTGTTGGGTCATCTAAACCCAGACAACATGACCCATCATTGGTCAAGCCCAATCACTAGCAAGCTATTTTGCAAGAGCAGCAAAAACTCCTTGCTGCTACTACCAAGCAGCTAGTGGATGGCCAACATTGCCAGCTGCCCCCAAAAGTGCCCAAATGGCACTTCAGCATGGCTGGTAAAGGCTCCCCTGCCCCGACTCCACAAGCCATTTTGAGTCCACCATGGCTTGACATCTCATTTCAGTTTTTCTCTCTGAAGATCAGGAAAGCCAACAGTCAAGCTAGACTTTCACAATGCCCATTTTGGCAGCTATGTGCTGCCCCACAAGGAACCCCTGTGGTACCTTGGAGGGACGGTCACCACTTCTTAAAAGAAAGAAATGGATTGATAATACATGCAAATAATTGTACTCCTTTTTATTTTTATTTTTTTAAACCTATCCTGCTAGATTTACACATACCCGGCAGCATGGGTTAGTGCAGATGGTCCTTGGGATCAGAACAGGCCAGGTTGTCCTTAAGATAAATTGAGCAGATTCCCACCATATGTAATCCCTATCCCAGCAGCAGGTAAGTATTTGCCCCCTTTGCAAGCCTCTGGCAGCTACTGACCTTGCTGAACTCAGCAAATTGTTCACAATTTGTATAAACAGGCTCATTCTCCCCTTTTGCAGAAGGTTTTCTGGATTTTCTAGAGGGAGATCCAGGGGCTGTAGTGGCCCTTCAACTTTGGAAATGTTTTCCCACCACACACCACTCTCTATGAACTGCACGTGTATTGCTGGATGGTATTACTTGGTAGTACTTGGACAAGTACGTCCTACCACCTGCTTACTCGACCCTTGCCCTTTGTGGCTGCTGGCCAAAGCCAAACACGGGATTGGTTTCTGGATCCTAGAGGTTATTAACGCCTCTCTGAGGGACAGCCGAGTGCCCGCTCCTTTAAAGGAGGCAGTAATCAGGCCTGTCCTAAAGAAGGCGTCTCTGGATCCAGAGATGGCCACCAATTATAGACCGGTGGCCAACATCCCGTTTTTGGGCAAGGTGTTGGAATGGGTGGTGGCAGGACAACTCCAAGCTCTCTTGCATGAAACTGATTATCTGGACCCATTTCAGTCCGGCTTCAGACCCGGGTACGGTACTGAATCTGCCTTGGTCGCCCTGTATGATGACCTGTGCAGGGAGAGAGACAGGGGGAGTGCGTCCCTGTTGGTTCTCCTGGACCCCTCAGTGGCTTTCGATACCATTGACCATGGTATCCTCCTGGATAGGTTGGCGGGATTGGGAGTAGGAGGCACTGCTTGTCAGTGGTTCCGCTCCTACCTTGACGGCCGATTCCAGAAGGTGGTGCTGGGGAACTTTGGCTCTGCACCATGGCAACTTTGCCATGGAGTACCGCAGTGTTCCATTTTATCCCCCTTGCTATTTAATATCTACATGAAACCACTGGGAGCGGTCATCAGGAGGTTTGGGCTGAGGAGCCTTCAGTACTATGATGACACCCAGCTTTACCTCTATTTTTCAACCAATCCAGGCGAGGCAGTGGCTGTAATGAACTGGTGCCTGGCCGAGGTAATGGGCTGGATGAGGGCCAATAAACTGAAGCTCAATCCAGACAAGATGGAGCTTCTGTTGGTGGGTGATTTGAGCTCCTGGGTAGGTGACTTGGGCCCTGCCTTGGACTGGGTTGCACTCCCTCTAAAGGACAGGGTCCGCAGCTTGGGAGTGCTCCTCGACCCAGAGTTGTCCTTGGAAGCTCAAGTGACAGTGGTGGCAAGTAGCACTTTCCTTCAGCTTCAGCTAATCCATCAGCTGCGTCCCTACCTGGAGGAAGATTACCTAGCAACAGTAACACACGCATTGGTTACTTCCCTGTTGGATTTCTGTAATGTGCTTTATGTGGGGCTGCCCTTGAAGACGGTCCGGATACTTCAGATGGTTCAAAATAGAGCTGCCAAGATGCTGTCAGGGACTGGGTGTTATTCTCATTTAACCTCAGTCCTCTATCAGCTCCATTGGCTTTCCATCGAAGTCTGGGCTCAATTCAAGGTGCTGGTTATCACCTATAAAGCCTATAAACAGCTTTATTACCTATAAAGCCCTAAATGGCTTGGGACCAGGATACCTAAAGGAACTCCTTTTTTCCTATTTGCCCTCCTGCCCCCTGAGATCGGCAACAGAAGCCCTCCTCCGGGAACCCTCTGTGAAAGATATTAGGAGACAGAGTACCAGGAGGAGGGCCTTCTCCACGGTGACGCCCCGTCTATGGAATGCGCTCCCCAGAGAGGTCTGCCTGGCGCCGTCATTATATGTTTTTTGGTGCCAGGTTAAGACCTTTTTATTTAATCAATATTTTAATAAGTTTTAATATTGAATTGTATTATTATATTTTATTAATTGCAGTCAGAGTGGGTCATCAATTTATTTATGCTGTTAGCCATCCAGAAATGTTTGTAATTGGACGGCATACAAATTTTATAAATAAATAAATAAATAAATATTACTGCAGATTTTCAATAACAGTCACGCTACAGTGATATGCCAATTTGCAAACTGAAAAAGGTAATTTAGAATTAGCTGGGAAGAAGCAAAATCAAAAATTAACTATTGTATACTTACCATACAGAAGACAAAAGCAGGTTCACATTTATCTTTAAATGGGAGCAAGGATGTAATATTATCAGCTTCTGCCTTTAATGAAGGACATACAAATAATTTAGCAGATTTTTCTAATATATGGAGGACTCGAAATGAGGTTGCAATTCTTATACTGATTCTCGCTAGCAAGGGTGGGCAATCTGTAGCCCTTCAAATGTTTTGGTCTACAGCTCCCATGTTCCCTTACTATTGACTATACCACCTAGGGCAGATATGTGATGTAAGCCAAAACTTCTTGAGGTTCACAAATTGTCAACCTCTGCTTTGTAAAATTCTAGTGACTGGTTAACTGAGAGTTTTGATTTGCAGTTTGCTGCTTGCTTTCCTCCTTTTTTCCAGTTATGACTGGATTCAAACTAAGTATTCTTAGTAGCACTTCACCATATGTATGGCCATTGTCCATAGCTACACAAAAATATCATTGGTTAAGCCAGATTTAAGCAGTCCAAATTTTATTTGGAATGCTTAACTTATCTACTGAACTATACAGGATGCTGAGATGCTTAATTTTGGCTGAACAGGGGGTATCAGTTGAAATAATAACTAGATTTATTTAGGATAATCATGCAAAAGCCAAAATAAGATGGATTCAAGAACCATTGTACTCATGAAAATGAAATTAATCACTGTCACTCACATTAGGAGTTCTTGGTTTTTTTATTTACTTAATTTTTTTAGTAAGTATGCCTACTATTATTATTATTTTAATTTCTTTTCCGCCTTTGAAGACTGCAAGCTTCCCTAGGTGATTTACAATATAAAACAGACCATTCTAGATCAACAGAATACGTTCATAAGTTCATAAATAAATTGTAAATAAAATTAATAATTATCTAATTAAAACAAGTGAAATCCCAAACTTAAATAACCAACCAAAACTGCATATATAATACACATCTTTCATTTAAATACCAAAGAAAATACCTCCCCCAGCACCAAAAAAATAAACAAAAATCAGCTGCTCTTAAAAGCAACAGAGAAAGCATGCTTTACCTTTCTGGGGTGGGAATTCACTATGGAAGGGACCATTTCTGAGAAAGAACTTTCGCTGAGCCTCCACTGATGACTTTAACATATGGACAAGTTCATAAGGGTGCAGGCAACCTTAAAATAACTTGGGCCCAAACTGCTTAAGGTGTGGGAAAGTCAAAACCAGCACTTTGTATTGGGCTCAAAAATGCAGCCGCCAACTACGTAGCTGGTACAGAACTGCTGCAATATGATCTGTTTGGCTAGCCCCAACCAGATGTTGACTGTGGCTGCATTCTGCACCAGCTGAAATCTCCAGGTCCTCTTCAGAGGCAGCTCCACCCAGAGCTTATTATACTCCTAGTCCAGTCTGGTTATGGCTCCCCTTACGCACTATGGTCCCAATGGTGGCCTGACTCTATGCATGTTTATTGTTAAGTAAACAAAAACCTTTCCCATTGTTTGGCAGTGGTACATGGAACAAATAACTGGGTTTAGGTCCTCACTTCCTTTTTTTATCCTGCAAAAGTCACTTCATTATTTCAGTTGACATTCCAGTATTTTCCTTATAACATCAAAGGCAGTTAATCCCATAACAAAGTAGTATTGTTTAGAAGGAAAGAGAAAGAGAAAGATGTTATTAGGGAAAGTGGGTTATTTGGGAAGTGGGTTACAATTCTACATTTTGAAAAAAAAACCACCCAAATTTATAGAAGTGGAACATTCACCTGAAGTAGTGCGTGTGTGTGTGTGCTGAAAACACCACCATTCTAACATTTGAGATCAAAATATCTCCTTGTTCTGATATGGTTCCAGGTTTATTCCTACTTAGACTAGATCCATTGTAATCAATAGTCCTTAAGTTAGTAATGTCTTGCTTGTCCATTAATTTTAATGGGTCTGCTCTAAGTGTGACTAATGCTGAATTCAGCTTCATGGGGGGAGTTGCATTATTACTTGCTGATGAACTGCAGAACTATAAGTCCTCTTGACTTAAGAGTAAACTTCATGTATTATTATTATTATTATTATTATTATTATTATTATTATTAACTTCTTCCACGCCTTCTTTACGACTAAACAATGAACAAACAATGGCTGTTTACACATCATAACACATTTTCACTACCAGTCAAGATCATTCTTGATATCAATAAAGCAATGATTATATCTCAAAATATGGTAATTTCAACATCAAGTGGAGGATGGGGGAGGAGGAGGAAAATATCTAAAATATTTGGCAGGAAGAGGTTTAATACTGAGAACTTTACCACAGCAAAGTGCAAAAGATCATCTTCACCATATTCATTTTTCAGTTTTCTGAATAGGTTAACCACAGCTTTGCAAGGTCCACACCAAGCCTGATAAACATCTACTACTGAAAAACAAATACACATACATTTAAATAAATGAACTACATTAGTTTTTTCAAATGGGAGTTAGCCATTTTTCTGCTTCTATAGGGGGTAAACCTTAAGGGGGGGGCGGCTCTGTGTTAAAATCACACATTAGGTCCCAGGGAAAAGGTTACATATTAATGAGGAAGGAGCCACACCTCCACCAGGAGTTAATCTAGCCCACCAAAGCCTCCTTACTAGTCAACACAGTGGCTGGAAACATTTGGCTACGATCAAGCATCCAGTTTCACAAGCACAGTAGTTTGGTCACAGCTGGGCTAAACACTGTTAAGCATCATGGTCCTGGGTGTCACCACATTACAAAGTGTCAGTTTTGTATGAGTTTGAGGAGCTGCACCCAGTAGAGTTATGCAGTGTATACCCTTATAAGTGAATTCCGCTGGGTGTACAAAATAAAATGCTGGCATGCATGTCCAACATACGCTGTAGATGAGAGGAAAATTAAAGAGGGGTGTGCAAAAGGTACCTGTTAGACCTTTATTCAGCAACATGTCTTCCCACTGTGTTTGATTGAGTATTACCATCTAAATAAAGGATATGTAGAATTGTTTAGCTCTAAAATCCTGGGTGTTCCAACAAACAGTTGACTATGAAAGCATAATCTTTATACCTGGAGCTGAACTTCTTTCTTCTTGCTTGCCATGTTGTTTCCTGTGATTGTGCAAATGTAACAAACAGCCAGTTGAAAAGACTGAGGCAGATCCTATTGCGGGGCTCTTAAGCTAGTTCAATATTAATTTCCGTGCACTTTGCTAATAAATGTTTCTGGCTATAGGCTGTTGCAACAGATGCCATAAACAAACCCAGTTGAGGCACAGTCTTGTGCAAGGTTAGACCGAAAAAAGGACTCGTGTACCCCAGCCAGCATAACTGCTCTGAACCTATGAAATAAAATGATACTGTGCACCAGCATGGGGACAGCAGGCATGGGGGAGGCCTTTTTTCTGTCTAAACTTGCATAGTATTGAGCCTAAAATGTGATAATTTGAACATGTCATAGCTACACTTGCACCTTTTAAAGTCAGATCAATTGAAGCATTTATTCCTTAGCAAAGTATTTCAGATTTACAGATATGAATCATTATTTAGGCTTGCCTTTTTCAATGCAAAAATCTTTTATATGTGTGGTCTCTGTGCACGTGTGTGCGCAGGGGGGATAGATTGAAGGCAAGAGTATTTTAGAGCATTGAAGGTACATTTGAATTTTGAATTAACAAAAATTCAGTGTGTATAACAGAGCACAGCAACATCTGTGAGTCCTGGTGACTAAATTTGGAATCTTCTCTAAAACACCCTGGAGGCTTTACCCTTCCATACCACTAAAATGGCAATCGAAGTTTGGCATTACAGCAGCAAAAAAGCAGCAACATTCCTTTAAAACGAAGTGTGCAATGCCCACTTGGGAAACAAAATTGTGCTCTCTGCACATTGTGTTTTTAAGAGAAATTGCTACCTTTTTTCAGGCAATGCGGCAGTTGTGGGATGGGCAGCTACAAAAATGGCCAGGGGGAACCTATATGACTTAGACAAGACATTGCCAACTCTTGGTGTATAACACATTAAATGATGCCTCTGTTATAAATCTTCTCTTCCCTTAATCCACTATTGGTCTCCAGCCCTTATTTTTGCATCCAGTGGGGAAGATAACTGTAGAAAGAAAGAAAGAAAGAAAGAAAGAAAGAAAGAAAGAAAGAAAGAAAGAAAGTCAAAGGGACTTTCTGGATCATCTAGTCTAACTCCTGGCTCCAGCCGGCTCTGCTCATGACATGCCTAGCATGTGCATATCCAGCCTATTCTTGAACACTGATGGGGCTTCAACCACCTCTGTTCCATACTCTAGGGGTCCTAACTGTCAGGAAGTACTTTGTGGCATCCAAACTGAACCTTGGTTCCCTGGTCTTTGCTCCATTGGAACCTGCCCTCCTCCGCAGAAAGAAAGAAAGAAAGAAAGAAAGAAAGAAAGAAAGAAAGAAAGAATAATGTTGCACTGAGCTAAACTGGATATGAGAAATGAAGGTTCCTGAAAAGCTAATAGACTAAATGCTGATTGAAATCTTGTGGCCTGAAACACACAATAGTTAATTACTACTGCAATTACCAGAAATTGACCGGAAGGACTAAAGTCTTCAAACAACAGGTACCACCAACTGAAATATATTTCTTTGAAAATGACTGGGTTCAGACACAGTGTCAGACAGCACAACAACCTAGAGTATCAGTTGCTGGGTTGTGTGAACACAGCCATACTATAGTTTGTTGGCCATGAACTGATGAAAACACATGTTTTGTTTTTGGATTGTATACTTTAGATTGTTCATTAATGGGGACCAGCAGATACTCCCATATCACGCTGGTCCTATACCATCTACACTGGCTGCCAATTGAAGTCCAGGCCCAATTTAAGGCACTGGTAATGTCCTATAAAGCCCTAAACAGCTTGGGTCCTGGACACCTAAAGGAGCACCTTCTTTCTATGTGCCTGCCCACCCCTTGAGATCTGAGGAAGAGGTCCTTCTCCAGGAGCCCTCTTTGAAGGATATTAGGAGCATAGCTACTCAGAGGAGGGCCTTTTCAGCGATGGCGCCCTGACTTTGGAACATGCTCCCCAGGGAGGTTTGCCTGGTGCCATTGCTTTATTCTTTTCAGCATCAGGCGAAAACCTTTTTATTTATTTATTTGGACAACTTGGTACGCCGCCCCATTCGCATAAGCCTTTCCCAACATTTTAATATTTAATTGGTTTTATCTCTGATTTTATCACTAATGGTTGGATGCAGTGTGTTGTTTATTGGTATGCTGTTGTTTTTTGTAAGCTGTCCAGAGACTGTGGTATTGGATGGCATATGAAAACTTTAAATAAATAAATAAATCCGAACTCATATGAATGTACTATAGACTTCTCCAGTATCTCTAGTCTCCAAGACCCTTTCACATGTTCAGTTTTGTAATAGTTGTATAGGGCTACAGAGAGCACTGTTTTTGGTCTGTCTTTCTGATGTGGGAGCACAGGATATCAGCTGTCTATTGCAGCGTTTAAATAGTGATTCCACCTATATACAAGTCATACATGTATTAAAAATATACTGTAAAAATATATTGTAAATAAGCCTCCAATTACCTATTTCTAAAGGAAACCAAACCTGGATAGCTGCTGTGCTCCTGGAAGAGAAGAATAAGCATAATATGATCAATTCTAAAAGATTTAAGAAAAATCCAAGTGAGTGCTTATGCCTCTACCCATTCCATCTGCTCTACCAATTCCCTTTGACATACAAATCAATAGGAAGAACCTTCCTTGGTTAAATCAGGCAAGCATTGACATATAAGCATGCCAGAGAAAAAACCCTCTTTTCTAGAAATCAGTATCTATGCATCCTTGAAATGTAGATGGCACTGACCAGGCACCAGTCCAAAGAAAACTAGTTGGCACTCGACAGATAACAGCAGCTCAAATAAAGGGCAGTTCACACCAGCCCACACCATCCTCTTCCTCTTCTATATAATAGCACCCCATCCTCCCCCCTCTTTTGGGCATCTTCTTTGGTATGCGAGTAAGATCATGTCATTGCAACTTTTTACTTCTGTAACCTATCGGAAAGTGTTAACTGTGTTTTGTGTATCTCTTTATTGATCAATATATATAAAAGGGCCAACTGAGGACTGTTCAGGTGCACCATCTGGAATGTTTCGTTGGTAGCCAGTTATTCTCAAGAATAAATCCTTTAAAAGAAAGTCTTCCCCTGTTGTATATTTTGGGCATACGCACACCAGGCCAAGGACCATTTGGTCAACACCTTCAGCGTGTGGTTACTCCCATCAGTTTCATTGCACACAAGGGAGATTTTGTGCTTCCTAAGAGAGGCCTCACTGAGTCTTTTGACTTAAGAGAGAATTAATTGATATTAATGGGTGGAGCAACCTGTCCTCCTGTATTGCATATCACTGTTACATAGTTCTCTTCAGGACTTTCAAGGACCCTCACAATGGCATGATCACCTGGGAGAGAACAGGTAGCAGTTTCCCTTCTTGCCCCTACTAACATACCACAATGGCTGCTGTATTAATACAAACTCCCACTCCAGTACACAAATGGCATCAGTCACACCATGAAGCAGTCCCTGTCATTATACCCACGTTGCAGGAGAACTACTCCAGTAGCTGAAGTCCCCCTTGCGGAAGCAGGGAGATGGAGAGAGAGGAGAGCAGGCCCTCGCTGCTGTTGCTATGGTCACCAAAGAACTTCTAAGCAGAAGCCAACAGCAAAGAACAGGTGGGCAGGTGATGCACTTGTGTTGGGCTTTAAGCCTGCTGAAGGTGGATGTGCAGAACCTTCAATGGGTCCAGAATGCTGCGAAATAATTGATACTGAAATTAAGATTCCTGCCAAGCCATGCAATTGTGAGGAGCTTGGGGCTCAGGGAAGGCCCTCTTGCAAAATCCAGTGGCTGAAAGCATCACAAAATTCCTTTTAAAAGGCCATCTATGCTAGTAGCTATCAGGACATCCCGTAGCACTGAATTCTACACGTGAATTGCATGAAGTACCTTCTTCATAATTAAAAGCCAAAAGTACAACAATACCACCAAAACAAGAAAATGATTACAATGAAATAAAGATGTTTATCTGCACAAATCCATTTAGACATTTATGGATCTCTATCACATTCCCCATTTCACTACTTTTTTCCTCTAAATTTGAATTATTTTCTAAGTATCAGGGTGGTTGGTTATCAGAGGCTTCTGGATTCAGAGGAGACCCCTTGGGGTGTTTCTACCTGAGCAGTTGGCACTTGTCTTCTGTTGATGCCCTGAGCAATGCAATGATCTAGGAGGTTGATACAATCACTCCTGAGTGCTGGCTTAGAGTCTGTGGTGCCCTTTCCAGTGCTTGGCAGCACCCTCACATTTGTGATCCCAGGCAGGCAGCAGAAATAGGTGCATGTACTGTAGGTGTAACCTTTTCCTGGTAGGCTACCTTATTTTGTCAGGTAATCTGCATTCAACTTGGTGAGACAAATAAGCCTGGCTTATATAATAGTGTTAGGATATTCGTTTGTTTTTCTCCAAGAAGGGAGAAATCTGACTTCTACTCTTCTGCTTAAGTTCTCTTTAAGGACTGGGACAGAGGATTAACCACCACCACCACCACAATAGCTGACTCTGTTTCATGCACTTTGAAGTAATAACTATGCATTCTTTGAGAAGTCATCACTTTCCTTATTACTTGGTTAAGTTCTTTCTCTATTGCTTCCTTCCTGAATTGTCTAGGCAACTAGCACAGTCACATGGTTTCCAAATGTCTAGCCAACCCAGAGAATGAATCTTCTTTTCTTTTCCTTGGTGTCCTTTTGATTTTCATGTTTTATGGAACAAACTTTATTGCAGGGATGCTTTGCCTATAAACTGCACTCTTCATAACTGAAGAAAAAAATGTTGTTGTCTTGGTGGGTCTATGGTGACCTTAAAAAGAGAGAGAGAGAGAGAGAGAGAGCACAACTGCTGTATGATTAATAGCCTGGAGAGTAATCTAAATCAAAAGATCTGCAGGGCTAAATTTAATGACTTTTCTTTTAGGAGAAACAGCATGACTGTGTGATTCAAGGATACAAAGATGGTCTTTTCTTCTGAACCACCATATTTAGCC